TATAATAATTAATTATCTAAAGCCGACACGTAACAGACACGTATTTCATGTATTGAGTTTTTTTTAAACATCATCTGTAAATTTAGAACATTTTGTGCCCTTTATGGTTAAAGAGTTAATGAAAAAGCATTCATAACAAGTCAATAGTGATAAATCAGTTTCATAAGAGGTAAAAAATATTTTCTCTAAAGTACTGTTAAAGTTGGAATAGTAATGTCTTTGTTAAAATCTGATCCCAGTCAAAATATTTTTTCATTATACGTCGTTGGGAAACAAAAATTTCAAAATGATTGAATGAATATTGTCAACATTTCGCGATGAGCCTTCCTTTGAAGACTGAAATCAGAAGGAGTAGGCAACACTTAGGAAGTGTACAACGGCCACTACGTCTGATGATACGAATTACAAAAAAAAATTATAATATGATGAAAAGGTTACACAATATGGCGTGTTTTTTTTCGCTTAAGTTAACCTTTCGAAAAACTTTGAATTTCTTTCAGTAAGGTTGCACTGACTAGATACACCTTATTATTAGCAAGCATTTGTATTTTTACCCGCGACGCCGGGCTAGATCTCATGCGCATTGGTTCATTTATTTCAAAACAAAAAATTATAATACAGCTTTTTCTTTAGTTACCTGAAATTGCGTGCTCCTTGTCAGATTTTTATAGGAACAGGTGGCAAACGCAATATTCATCTACTCAAATTGTTTAATTATAAGAAATTAATATCGACTGAATATAGAAACATGAACTTAACAAAATAAGGCTATTGATGCTTTGTTAAGTGTAGAAAGGGAATAGTGGAAGTTTAGTAGTTTAGTGTAGTTTAATGTAGTTTAGTATGCCTCTATTTTTGCTCAAAGAAATGTTAGACTAAAGACAAAAGATATCAGTTCGAAATTTAGATAATGACTGACGAACATAATTTTATTATGCTTATGGAAACTCCTAATGCGATCGAAACTGAAAAAAAATATTAAAGTACTGAGTATTTCTTGGTTCAACAATACACGATGGAGTGAAAGTAGTGAAGTCAAATGGCAGCACCGGGCTACAGGCCGCCTCTAGCGAATTTGTTTTTGGAGGGAGGTGGGGGGAAGAAATGCGATTCGCTAAAAGCAGAGTGCATGGTGGGCAGCTGTAAATGTCACATATATATTTATTCTTTTCAAAATTTTGCGTAGCATTTGAACGCTTTTTAGCGGTTTGTCTTTACTTTTCGTGAACTGGAAGATCGACGACTGTGTCGTTTTCTTCAACGTTAAAGCTAGTGACAGTCAAAATTAGAGCGTTAAGGCGCATCCCATTCTACGCGAAATATTTTCACGATTCAAAATGGCGGCTATGTCAGATCCAATTTCCGTTCAGTTTCATCATCGAAGAAAATTCACAGTTAAATGGCGTGAAATAAAAAAGAAGTAAAACGATAAAACAGAAATTAGGAAAAATTCCAAAATTACGTCAACGACTTTAAGTTAACATTAATTTAAAATAAGTCATTATTGCCATTAGAGAGATTTTTGATGGAGGAAATTGAAGGCCGATTAATCCATCATTTTATATGTGGCAAAAGTGTATTTATATTGAGCCCACGAAATAAGGAGGCTGTGTTTCACCCATGTTTGGCACAAAGGGTAAAAAAAGCGAAACACATTTTATGAAAAATGTTGGAAATCGTACCCCTTAATCTAGAAAGAATCGCTTTATTATCTGCATTACTCTAGTTTCAGTTGAAGTGTAAATAAGGAACGCTGTGGTAAAAGCAAATTTAAAACAAAGCTGCCCTTCTGTTTGCCTTTCTTGATGTTTAAAAGTAATATACTGTCATTAAAAGGGTCACATGAGGATTTTTAATAGAGCGTTTAATTCTTATTTTGACATGTTTGTTGATGCAAGAAAACAATGATCACGTATACTATAAACTCGTATTATCAGATCAAAATCAATGGCCATCTTCCTAATAATATTCCTTGAAATCGGCACATTGCCCAATCTCTCAATCTATAGTTATGATCTTTTTTTTAGTGATGAGTTAACTCAGCACACGGCAGAATGGCAGAAGTACATATCTGTTCAGCGCAAGATTTTCAAGAATATCAGTTTATCAAAGACTACTCTCGCCTGTGGAGCGTCTTCATTTCTTCCGCAAACGTCTTGCTATCAATTTTTGCTGTTTTTGGAAACTCCCTTATTTTATTTGCTTTGTACCGATGTCGCTCAATTCATCCTTCAACAAAAGCTCTTTTCTACAGCTTGGCTTTGTCGGATTTTGGGGTAGGATTGCTGGCGCAGCCCTTACAAGTTGCCTCCGGTTTAGCGGTTCTCCGAACAAACCTCTATCTGTTCTGCTCAATTCAACCTTTCTACGCAGCAGCAGCGTATTTCTTCTGCGCGGTTTCGTTTGTCACCATTTCTGCAATTAGTATCGACCGATATCTTGCACTTCACCTTCGTATGCGGTATCGTGTGATTGTTACTGCCAGAAGACTTCGCCTGACACTGGCAGTGTTGTGGATCTGCAGCATTGTATGGGCTGTTTCTCGCATGTGGAGCATGCGAGTAAATAAACTCAGCGCAATCATCTTCGGTTTCCTTAGCATTGTCGTAACGTGTTCGTGCTATTTCAGAATTTATTGGTCTCTGAAACTTTTAAACACCAAAATTGCGAGCCAGCAGGCTAGAGCACGTAGAAAAAACAGGAAAGCTTTAAATATTTTACAATTTAAAAGATCCGTCAATAGTATGATGTGTGTTTTTGGTTTTCTTATCATTTGTTACATTCCTTATTTCTGCTCATTGCTGGCTTTTGCTGCCCAAGGTTATAATTCATCCATCGTTTTAGCTACTAATTTATCATCTGTGGTGATTTTTCTTAATTCTTCTTTGAATCCGTTTGTCTACTGTTGGCGAATTAATGAAATTCGCTGGAGAGTGATATCCATTGTTCGTAAGCTGTGTCCTTTGTGTACAAAGTCTAACTCGCAAATCCAAATTTCGAGATACTGAACAGAAAATCTCCTCTGCAGTGGAAAAGCATCCTCTTAGTGCGTTGGCTTGCGATTGACGGTAGAATCCTCCAATAGCGATCTAATAATGGCAGGCGAAGAAGAAGACGTATGAAAATCACCAGCCAACTACAAAAACGAACCATGAACCTACTTCGTATCTTAATCAGACAACAATAATGTACGATTTAGATTCTTTCGGTGGGTGGTCTCTAGCTATTAAAACTAACAAGACTAAAACTCATTCAGCGGTTTAGATATCTGCATGTAGGCTAGTTCATATATTTTCAATAAAACGAGCTATGAATTAAAAAAAGTAAATAAACATTTGAAAAAATATGATCAAAAGCACTCCATGGAAGCAGTAGCTTCACTATCGCCCACAAAATACTTATCCCTCGGACGGAAAGCCATTCTCGGACCTACATGCAGACCCATACCGCCACCGTGGTACAAGAGGATTGTGGGGCTCGGCTGGCGGTTGTAGGACCCCTTTGCTTTTTTGTTACATTGTTTTGAAAAACTTAAGTAGATAGCCTGTTATGTCGTCTCAGGCTCTTCTCCTGGATAATAGTAATATTGTGGGATAGAAATGCAAATGACGCCGCTGGGCGGCCGGTGAAGTCTTCAAACATAGCCTCACTTTTTCGGAAAGTGCAGTTTTGGCTTGTCGGAAGAACAGTTGCCATTGATAGAAAATAAGACACAGAAAAGGAATTTTCACACGCATTTGTAGTGCGACCACTGTAGCCGGGACCAGGAAAATAACATTACATTCCAAGAAAGTTGTTTGTTGGCCAATCAGCGTCTATGAAAAAAGAAAATGAGAATAATAATAAAAAAACAATAATAACAATATATAAGAGTGTTTATGGGGATTTTAGCGATCATTATTTAGGGCACTAAAACCACAAATAAAAATACATCAAAACTTTACCTCGCTTCCTTGTCTTATTCATGGTATGTTCTTTGCATTTCTAGCCGTTTCTGCGCGATTTTAGCGAGTTTTAGTTTTGTCGTTGCTCTTTCTTGCTAAGACGATTGGGGAGAGGCGGTGCATGATAAAAAAAATGACTGCGAGTGATACTAATAGCGTGGGGAAGAGGGGAGTGCCGGTTCGTTATCGGGGTGGGGGGTGGGGGAGGGGGGCTGTCAATCCACGCTACAGTCTTAAGACAACAATAGTCTGAACACTTGCACCCAACGCTGTTTTTACTTCTCGCCCGTCTCCTCGTCCTCCCAATGTTGTTTATAGCATTTAACTCACCAAATCTTGCACATTAACACCGGAAGGGCAAGAAAACAGTTAAGCGTCCCAAAAACCTTGACTGAGACTGTAGCACAGCCAGTTTTCTCTTTACACCAGGGATTTTAATCTTTTCTAAGATTAAATTTGGTTATGTAAGCTGGCAAGGTCTAAATGTGCGGAGATAAAAAAAAAAACCCACGTCATAAAAAGAACCCGGGACCGGGATTAAATTAAATTTGGATCGAAACTTCAATTATTTGACCACGATTTTGCAAAGACCTTCAAAACACTTCAGCCAGGTTCATAACCCGAACTTTTCATGAGCCGATCGTAATTCAAATTGAGGCCAATCCAAATTATTAAAACCGGCTGAATTAATTCAGACGCCAAACTTAACTCCAGGTAAATCAAACTAAATTCAAATGGAGAAAAATGCTCATATTGGTGAAAAAGTTCGGCACATGAAAAGTTCGGCGTCTGAATCAATGCCGTCCCAAGGTCGCTCCAAGGTCGAAATTCCTGGTCGGGCTAGGCAGGAGCCGTTCCAAATTGAAGTAGGCGTTTCTAAATCGATTACGATTCAGACGCACAAACTTTTCATGTTCTTAATTCAATGTATTAAAAATTTGGCGTCTAAACCGGGCCTTTTGCAGGAAGTTTGGCTCATATCATTTGGTAGACCTGTGGTCTTTCTCAAGGCCTGGATGCATTTCCAAACGCGAGAGACTGGTAACAAAGTGAAAATGAAAAATGGCGGCCGAAAACACAGTGACGAGCAGCCTGGACCGCTTTAGCGAATTAAAAGAAGTAACTACATTAATTGAATCTATAAGAGCTATTTGCCATGATGAAATATTACTAGAAGCTGCCGAGGAACGTTTAACTGGTTAGTGTATGTGTGTGTTTCCCGATTTCTTGCTATTGATATATTGCTGTCATAACATTTTCTACCTGAAAGGCGTATTAGCTCCTTAAATAATGCTTATCTAAGGGATTTTGAAAATAATAAAAATAATGAAATGTTGTCCTTGTAAAAAGGAAAAGAGGTAAAAGTACATTTACTTTCTACAAAAGTGCAGTAGAGCAATTTTTGTGTGATAAATTTCTAATTTTTTGTAAGCTGAGTTCACACCCTATATTGATAACTGGAATAAATGATTTCACCTTTTGTAGCTTAAGCGGCAGCTAAAGTAGCCCATATTTGTTAAGCGCAATGGGATTTGTACACTTAATATATCGATGTGAATTGTGAATCTCAGAATCATTCTTCTGTGCACATTTTCTAGCTTTATAGAGAGAAGACCTAATTACCCAGCTAATCAACACTGCAAAGTCATTGATCCTCCAAGCGAGGGTGGGGGTGCTTAAGCTTAAAAACAGTGTTTTTATTTCTATTTTTTTGCTGCAGTTATATTAAATAAGTATCAAGAACAGCCTCAATTGCTAGATCCCCATTTAGGTAAGTCCTCTTTACTTTCTTTCAATGGTGTTTATGCTGTAACTTGTGCCTTCTAGTTACATTTGCTAAAATTTTATTGTACAGTTATGTGCTATTAATTTATCACAGTTTACTGCTTTAAATTTTTATTACATATAAAATTTTAAGTCCAAATCTTTTCAGATCGCCTGGTAGAAAAATTGCAGGAAATAGTACGAGACTCCTCTAATCCTACAAAAGTGAATCGCCAGGCCTTTAAATATCTGTATCTCATAACTAAGGTTTGTTTTCAATGATTTTCTATAAATGATGTATATTGTGTATGACACTGTGTAGCAGCTCTCTATAATTTGAATACCATTTAGTGTCCTTTTTATAGAGATATCCTCATATTTATAAGGGGGTGATTAAAAAACAGGGCTGAAAAACAGCAGGTTCTGCACCCCTGCCTGTCTATTTTAGTGAGTTGTCTTTCTTGTGTACTCATGTCTAAAGAGGGAGAATACAGTGTATTAGGTGCTGGGACTCAAAATTTGCACTCTAAACTCCCAGTGGTGTGGTTTTCAGAAGTCATGAGTGAAAAGAATAATTGACATCCTTTAGCAAACATTTTGAATCATTAGCCTTACTCCAGTATAGATTTGAAAAAGAGATGGTAAATGTTGAAGAAAATCGGGACAAAAAATAACCATAAATTCTTCAACAGAAGAAAACGTTTTCCATTTGAAATAAGCCTCAGTTGTCAATGTCTTGTTATATTAAAGCTACCGACATGTACATTTTAGCTGCACATTAATTTGCACTTCACTGGCCTCATGCAGAAAATGACTTTACATTTTTTTTAAATATTAATTTTCGGATTCTTCCTTCAACATGATTGAAGAAAATTCTCTCCACTTTTTTGGCAGTCTCTGAACCTTGACAATGAGAAATAACTAGTGAATTTGCAACTTTTGCAAAGTTTTGTCAGTGGACTGAAAAAGTGAGTTCAGGCTCTTAATGCCCCTCTTTGGAGCAAAAATGTTCAGTGTAAATTACATGAACTGTTACTCTAAGTTTTACAAATTGAATTACATTTATGCACAGGTCAGAGGCCCAAAATATGTTGTACGGCTTTTTGCTCATGAAGTTGCTGATGTTGAGCCAGTTCTTGGAATGCTGGCACAGCAAAATCCACAGGATCATGAGGTATATAATTATTCTGTCTGGCAGTTGACAGTTTTTCTTCAGCCTATTATAATAGCCCCTTCTTGAATGATCTTTTTTTTTAATGATCTTAAGCTTCCTTTCCATGTCTCAGTTGTTCAAATGTTGGACAGTGCTATCCACCAGATAAATCACTGTCTAATGGATAAGCATAATTTATTGAAACCAATTGTGTTATTCAGTGGATAGAGATTTATGCAGTGGATAGCTTTATCCTTCTTTCTAACAACTGGGACCAGGTAGCAACAATCTATGACATTAGAACTTGGGTCAATTGAAGGAATAACATTGACATGTTGTGCTCCTTTTTCCTTTCCTCTCTATGTTGGCCTCGAACTTGAACAATTCCATCAAAAACCTATTACAAGATAACATTGGAAGAGAGAAAGACAAGTGTCAGAGCAGTGTGTGACCCAAGTTGAGTGTCACTGATTGTAGCTTACTATGAGCTAACCCTTTTTCAGATGAATAATCATCTAATATTTGCTCTTTGCTTTAAATACCGTTTTGAAGGGCAGTGCAGTAATGTCAATGCTGGCCTTGCTTTATGTATTCTACTTATCATAGCTCTCAGTTCTATATTTTGTAGAGGATTGCATTCCTATTCCCAGCTTTTCCAGTATTAGCCCCTACCTTGATTAACTCGGCAACGATGTCAAAAGCAAATAACTTTTTTGTACTGATTATTCATTTAGGGTTCAATTCTGCTCCCTCAAAGAGAGTTCATCTAACTTTTGTTTATTGTATGAGGTACTGATAGCTTTGCCTTTTTGTTTCATAGACCTGGGAGACAAGATATGTCCTGTTGTTATGGCTGTCAATTGTTTGTATGATACCCTTTGATATGGTTCGCTTTGATGGTCTCAAGGAAGTAACTACTGGTATAGTTGAACGACGCAGGCCAGTTGTGGAGAGAATCCTTGAAACAGCAAAGGTTTAAATTGATAAAAAAGTTCTGCGTAGTCTGCTCATGATAGAATTCCAATCATGTTAAAATATAGTAGATGAATTAATATTAATATTAGTACAACCGGCCATTGTACAAAATAATTTCATTGCACATTGTAATTTCATTTTGTGTATATTTTAGAGACATTTTTTAACATGATTCCAATCCATGGACTCCCCAAGTGCTAGTTGGGTCACAAACAAATATTTAAAGTGCCTGTTGTCGCTACTGCCTCAGCTTTTTCCACAATTGCCATATAAATATAAAAAAAAACTCATTGTCGATCCTTAGGCATGCGCCCTTCCTGGCTACCACCCACCCTGCTTTAAATTTAGATGATTTCCAATGCTGCACTGGAATGCAGCATGAATGGCACATGCATTAAGTCAGTGCTTGTTCTTTTTATTTTGTATCCCAATTTTTAGGTGTATTTGTCAGTTCCTGACAAGTCAAGAGATGCTGCAGCCTTAGTAATTTCAAAGTAAGCAGTTTTTAAATACTTTATAAATTCTTTAAAGATCAGTATTGGTAGTATTTGAGTCACATGACTTTGCGCACATCTGTACACCCCAATGAAGCAAATCAGTTGGGTAAAGGAAGTACAGATTCTACTGGCATATTTTATCTTCATTGTTGTAGCTGGAAATGTCTTCACAACAGCTGGCACTCTTTAAACTTCAAGGTCACATGACATCTAACAATGAAACTCAAAATCTCTGAGCGGGCAAATTTGCGAAATCTATGACATCAGAGGGTAATAGTGCAATGTTACCTGTGAAGATGACCCATGATCATTACAGCGAGACTGGTTTCATTAATTCCCAGCATCAAAATTTCCAGCTAATTTTATAACAAATCACTTAAAGACTGGTCCCTTACAAAACAGTTAGTTTTGTTTCCCTTGAATCTCATTCTCATTGTTTCCTTTCGCATTGTCTTGGCAAACATTGAGATTCTTGGGAAACAAAATTAACTGTTTCCTTCATTAAGTGTTTAATGTTGAGTAATAATTTCATTAAAATGCTTATTTTTAGCTGAAATTGTGGTGCTAATTTTAAGCTGGGCTCTTATTTGAGGGAGAATGGGGTGGGATGGGGGCTAGTTTTGTTTTTCAAAATTATTGTATTTAGATATTGTCCTTAAGGCAAATCAAAAACTTTCCCTGTGTTTTGTCACTTTTCTCTAGCACTGTAAGAGAACCCATTTCTTCAACATCCAGTAGAGTCAAGTCCTAAAATTAATGGGGAATTCTCTTTAGTGTCAATAAGGAGGATTAAGCTGGGGGAATTATTTTGAAGGAGGCTCTTATTGAAGCTATAAAGCACTAATTTGCAAGTTTTTACCTGGCCGTATACAAGATAAAAGATGGATAAACTTGTATGTGAGCCACACATACATGTGGCAAAGCATACTAGTACCGTCCTGAGTAATAAATGTTATCTCTGAATATTTTCTACAATCAACTGGATTGCTTATTTATTTGGCGTCCTTAAGGCACAGGAAAAAGTGGACAAAGAAAAAGTAATAATTATTTTAAAAATTCTCTTATTCCCATTTAGTTTTACAGTACATTAGAGGACATACTGGTACATGTACATTGTCTAATTATATTACTAGTAACTCAGGGGCAGATCTAGGGGGAGGGTGCAGGGGGTACTATGTGGTTTATTGGTGTTGAAGTAGAGCAAGAGACGAGTGCACCCCCTCCTAAAAAAAATCCTGGATCCGCCCCTACATAAACTGTAGTGATAACTTTCTTTTGCTGGACTGTCATACCCCTTTTTTGTTGCACATTCGCTATTCTCAACACATTAAGGAAAGCTAATGAAATATTGTGCCATACAAACACTGATTCTCAACCTGTTATATTAATTTTCCCTTTCTTACAAGATTTGTAACAAGACCAGATGTAAAAAAAGAGAAGCTTGCTGAATACCTGGATTGGTCCTTGATGACTATGGACAAAGCAAACAGTTTGTGCAAACACTTGTCAATTGATTATTGATTCGTGGATAACTTAAATGTTTTCAGTATAAAAAGACGCGGGGATCCACCTTTAGTCAATTGCTGTTTGTAGTATACTGGGCTGTCATTAAAGAGGCAGAGGCCAGGATTTCCCCTTGCTACTATGAACATGGCCCCCAGCTATGTTCATAGGAAAATAGAAGAAAAATATAACAAAAAGAAATCCCTAGCTGTTTTACCTCACCTACTTGTTGTATTTACCAGGCAACTTGAAATTTTAGTGGCATCCCTGAGTATAATTATTACATGTACCTGTACAGACAGTATGTTAATGCATTTACTGCTAGTCAAGCTGGAACTCTCATTATCCTAGTTGCACAAGCTGAAACTAAAGTAAACAATATTCAAGAACTTAATGAGATAAAACTCAGGGTGGGAAAAAATAGAAATATTAATTGCTTGTTGTTTTACAATGCTGTTTTATATTTTCTGTATGTTGCTAATAAACAGGAGAAACAATGAATGGGATGCTACTTCTAACTGGAATTTTAACAACACTGGTAAGAGTTACAAATTTTGTATTTAATATTGTTTAATTAAATTAATTTATTTATTTTTGCATTTGTACATATATGGAGCTTGCAAATACTTCTATGAGGGCCCCAGTGGGGTATATATGCCAAATGTTGGTACTTATTAGTAGGCAACTGAAAGAAAGTCCCTCTTTAATTATACTCAGCAACAAATTTATGAATCAGTGAATAGAAAGTGTTTTCAGTACAATCATTTATCACAGATCTGAGACACCTAAGATGTAGACCATTCAGTTTGAGTTCTTCTTTGTCATGTGGCATGACGAAAAAACAAAAAGTTAAATAGGAAATTTGGTTTAAGAGTTGGCTTTTCCATATTGCTTGAACACAGATTTTTTGCTCAGAGTACAATGGTGCTGGTACCCAGCTGCTGGCTTCCAATGAACACTTTATTAATGGATGGATATACTTAACAACATCAGTGGACTGGAAACTCTAGTTTCCTTTTTTACAGCAGTGTCTGTCAAAGGGGAACTGACTGATCTTGCTTGTTTTATGTTGTCAACATTCTTGAATAACATTTCTTTTTATGTTCTTTTTTCAGGCCTTGCTCTTTAAACATGGCAAAAGGGAAGACCTAATACAATATGGTTAGTACATGTACATGGAAATGTATTTTGAAACTGTAATTATCCTATGATAATAATGCAAACACAAAACTTTGCGACACTTCACAGAGCTGAGAGAACACTAAAACTGACATAAAAATAAAAAAGGCTCTATCTTATCTTCCATACACTACCACAGTTAACCTTCAGAACATTTTAGTGATACACTTAAAAGATTTAAGTACAATAATTGTTGTACATAAACATTTAATTTGTTAAACTGATAAATACATTGTTTTAAATACCTTTTAATACTTCGATTTGAATACCTTTTAGCCCCCGTAGTTTTAAAGCAAACAGTTGCTCGTGAAATATCAAGCACGAATAACACCTTGCTGAGGAAACTGAACATCAAACTTATACAGGTACTGTGGACGATTTACTTTCAAAAAAGATTCACTTTGTTGGGGTGACAATTATTGGTAACTCATCCCGTGGCTCACATGGTGGCCGACAAATACTGAAGCCTGATAGAAACCAATATATAATTGAGATAAACATAACAACTGGCCAGAGGCGAACCAGTTGGCTATTTTACAAGCATGTCCGAGAAGTTGACCTCGGGACTACCAAGAACAATTCCAGCAAGAGGTTAGGGTCGGGACTGACCTTGGGGCTTCCAGATTGTAATACCAGCGCTCTAACGCTCAACCACGCTGCCTGCATGCAGACTTCTCCCCCAGATCTTTTTTTTTGGTAAATTGATGAATCCAGACCTTGGGATGTCAGCTGGAGGCTCATTCATGAACAAAAAAACTTTTTTGGCCCTGTGGGCCGACCCTCTTTCAGTTAAAACATGATAATGGAAGTGGGCACTTCAGGTACCTCCCATTAATCCACTACTGTTATATAAAGGCGTTTATAGTGTTGAGAACTTTTTGTGACTCTGGGAAGGGATCTTTAAGCCAAAATCCAAACAAAGTAGTTAACCTGGAGTCTTATTGGGAATGCGGTAGCTCGAACTCTACAGGGAAACGAAAATCAGTTCAAGTTAGCGGGGGCTCGAGTTATCGCGGTCAATTGCAAAATTCAATTGGCCATAAGAAAAATTGATAGTTAGCGATTTTTCAGCACTTAAGTGCAAAGTGCAGTGCAAATTAAACCTTATTTCATCAGAAACGGTGACATGATTAGGCTTTTTTTTTTTATGATAAAACGTGATCTGTTCGTTGCACCAATTAAATCGATTTATAGTGTTGACCAGTGTTAGTTTTAGTGTTTTCACCGATTATACAGAAAGAAAAGCTAATCGGATGGCATCCAAGTAGATTTACAAGAACCAGAATTCGAGTTATCGGGATAAATTTGAGTGACTACTAGAGGGAAATGAAATGTAGTTCGAGTTAGCGAGGAATTCGAATTATCCGAGTTCGAGTTAACCGAGTAAAAATGACTGAAAAGTGGGATGAAATCCAGGGGAAATTAGACTTAGTTCGAGGTAGCGGAGAGTTCGAGTTATAGGGGTTCTATTGTAAGTTGAAATATTTGCTGTATTTCTTTCCTGCAGCGACTTGGCCTGACCTTTTTGAAACCGAGAGTGGCATCTTGGAGGTAAGCTTATGTTCATTTCCTAAATGTGATTTTTTTTTTGTCTTGTGCTTTGTTTGCGGCACAAACGGACTCAAGGTTTCTCACCTCAGTGTTCGATCTCTTAAAAATAGCGAACATCTTACGGGATCTTAAAAAGACTTTACCAAGTGGGTTTCAACAAATGTGGTTTAGCTTGCAGTTAAAGAAACCTAGATCAGTGATGATTTGTGTGGCCTACAGGCCTCCGAGCTGTCCCTGAAAGTGGTGTGTTATTCTGAGGCGTTTATCTAACGGGCGTTGCTACTTCGAAAGGATATAATAATCGCAGATGATCTTTACTGCAACCTACTGGTCAACTGGCCGGGGTTACAAGTTTATTCAGTCGCCGACGTGTTAATTGTTTCATGTACTAGGCTGAAGGAACGAAGAATATTTACGCAAAATGTTTCCTTGTTCAAACGCAAGCTTTACTTGAAGTGATCGAAATTTTTGTGGAATTTCACTGCTTGAGTTTGTATCGAAGCGACTTGTATTGAAAAGACCAGTTACCGTCCACTACCCTAAATCCTGCGCATTAACTGTGTTCGGGAGTTTGATGGGTCTGTCTCAGCTTATCCCACTATTTTGACGTTACCCTATAGTCCCTAATATTGGTCTAGTACGGCACAGCGATGTCCTTACTACTACCTTACTTCTTGTTCACTGCACTCTCTGTTTGAAAATACCAATTCCCAAGCCAAGTGTTATAACCACCAGGAGCTGTAAGAATTTTGATCTTGAAAGTTTCAATGCAGATATCTCCAAGTTCCCTGGAACACACCCAGTGTTTTTGATCTTGTTGACGATAAAGTGGAATGTTTCAATAAGTTGTCCCTGGAACTGTTAGATGAGCATGCACCTATTAAGACTTTTAAGATCAGACACAAGTCTAGTCCAGAAATTACGCCCGAGATTATGCGGGAGTGAAACGAGAAACTCAAACTTGCGCGTTGGACTGGTCGTTATGGTGACTGGAATATCTTTAGAACATTACGCCAGGTTGTCAAGTCAGATCCGTAAAGCGGAAATTTTCAGAATGAAATATCCTCAAACAAGGGAAACACGTCGTCAATTTGGAAGAATCATCCGTCAATGTCTGTCATCTTCCAGAGGTTCAAACCTTACTTAATGACTTTACAAACAACACTAAAAAAGAACCTTTCAGTTTTTCAAAGACTTTGAAAAACTTTTAGGCTAATAAGTTTTCAAAAACCACAATAGCAAACCGTTTCAATCTTCTTCAAGTTTGTCCGTCTGTGCCTCCTTTGTATTTGCTGTGGTGCTTCTACTTCCTTTTCATAATTTGAGCAGCTTATGTTTCACTCAATTTGGTAGCGATTCCCATTGTGGGTGGACCTCAGTCAGAAAGTAGTTCATTAGTAATGAATTTAAGAAACCGTTTTCTCTTTGTATGTGTTATTTCTAACCAGATATCAAAGGGGAAGTCGTTCCCTGATGTACAACTTGGAAAATCCATTTTCTCAACAACAGGTAGTCGCGAAACATGTATCAAGTGTTGTATATAACAGTCATATTTCTCGCAGAGAGACGTCTATGTGTCATTCGCCTTTGAACCGCAAAATATTTGTAGACAGGGGGGGGAGGAAAACAAATCATTGGGTGGCAGTAAGTTGATCCTAATCTGATAGAACAACAGTCAGACTAACGCTGGCATGAACCTTGTATGTGATTTTTTCCCTTCATACATGTACAAGACAGTAAAAAGGGAAGTTTTCAAACTGACTCATCATGTGCGATTTATTTTCGGCTGTTGTATGCCAGCCTTGATAAAGGAAAATAATGTGAATTACCTGATTCTTCAAGTAGTGAAATAATATTTTTAAAACTAGGTAATTTAATCGTTATTATATTCGTGAAAATGAGGTATGTGTAATCTTAAAAGTTTTGGTTGGTGACAAGCTAATGCAGCCTTTTATACTTATTTAAATTCTCAGAATAAATCTCTCAACAATGGTGCTGTTTTGGTATACGAAATGAAAAAGAAAAGGCCTGATGTTTTATGATTTTCAACGCGAAAACCCATGCAAATGAACTTAATTTTGTTTAATAAGCAATGAAAAGACCTTTCTAGAATGCTGAATTACAGAGCTATTTACAAAAGTTTTACTAAAATATAATACAATAAATCCACTTTCAATAAAAAAACTCTTGAGTGCGCTTGGTCCTACACCGTGGAGCGGCTATGCAATCAATCTTAATTTAATGAAGTTTAATGGGGGGTAACAAACGGTAATGACAACAAACTTGTGGCTCAGCTTACGTGTTCTTTAATTCGCTTTCTGAATTGATTGACTCAATTTTCTGAAGCTCTCTGTTCTCTTATTCGTTTTTAAAGGATTTTTGTAACCCTATTTTCTCACATGACTTCCATTTTCTCCTGCATGATTCAGGAAGAAGAGTATGACATTCCTGAAGAGCTGGAAGATGTTATTGGTAGGTGCATGATATTGATATTCTATGCGTTATCTGGTATCATGATATTGGAAGAACTGTTAACCAGCTCTCTCACCATTGACCACTGTTCAATTTTGTTATAGAGAAACTTCTTTCTGGTCTAAAGGATAAAGACACAGTCGTAAGGTGGTCGGCTGCCAAAGGGTAAGAGTCATCCACCTGAAAAGTCAAAGTGTCATCTTCATGGCCGATTTGCAGTGCTGCATATCTTAGGCTGCGTGCAAAGGGACGCAACAATGTTGACCGACAACTCCCATCATTGTTGGATGTTACATGTTGCATCCGTTTCCACACCCTGTTGCATGCTGTTGGATGTTGTTGCGTGTTGCTGCGCAAAGTTTGAAACCGGTCAAACTTTTAGCCCCGTGCAAACGGACGTAACATTGTTGGCTTACAACTCCCAACATTGTTGGGAGATGTTGCGCCCGTTTGCACGTAGCCTTACAAATTAGAAGGGTTCAGCTACGGCGATGGCGATTTCAGCGAGAACGCCATCAGGATCAATTTTGCATGTTCATCACACTTTTTGGTACATTTCTTTACCGTCGCTGTATAGCCGTTTCGTACGGGTACCACTACAAGCTGAAGCTTTCTTATGCTACAACGGCGACGAAGATTTCTTTCTCTTTTCTGACTTGGTTGCGGCCCCCAAGAACTCCAGGAAAATTCAGCTACATTTGACATTTTTAAGTAAGTTAGAATAATCGTGACAAAATGTGAAAGAGTACTCATCCATTTTGATATACATTTTCTGCCCGTGCCGCCGTTATTGCTAAAGCTCCCTATTATTTTTGTTTGGTGACTTAAGGTTTTGGTTTTGCCAAGTGTACATGTTTTATACTATTTTTATTGTGTTTAAACAGGGTTGGTCGAATAACTGGCCGGCTACCTCAAGAGTTAGCTGATCAAATCGTTGAAAACGTGTTAGAGTTGTTCAGGTAATGAGGGGACAAAAATTTTTAGCCCCGAAAAACGAAAGCACGCGATGCCACATCGCGACTCTGACTGTAAAACCCTAGCTATTTTCTTTTTTGAAATAACTTCATAGCTTGTCTCAGTTTAAAGGGGTTATGCAATGATACTTTTTGCCATCCTTTTTCAAAAGATAAAACGTCTTCGCATCGAATGAATTCCAAGAAATAATGGTCCAGTTTTCGTTATTTACGACTATTGATGAATTGAAACCGTTTTCTGTTTTCAATAAACATGTTAGTCACAGATTTCAAGTTTCTCTTCAGTATTTTGTGCTTTATGACTATCTCAACTTATTTCAGAGGAGATTATGTGAAAAAAATGCAAAATGTTTATTGAAAACAGAAAACAGTTTCAAATCATCAGTGGTCGTAAATAACATTATTTTGCATTGCAAAACCGCTTTTTAAATTTGTTTTTCAGTTTCAGAGAATCAGACTCGGGCTGGCATGGAGGTAATTTATGTGATCTACCTGGTCTTGGTTTTTAACTACAGTAACATGGAATTCCATCTGACCTAGTTTTTACTATCGTTGTAAATCTCAGACACTACCGTTATTAAACCATCCTTTATAGTTGTATAAACGTGAGGCTGTTCAATCTTACATTTACTTAATTGTGGACTAAGTAGTAGCTGATTCGCTGTCTGCCGCTTTTGTCACCTTTTATTCAGGGTGTTTAGCTCTCGCTGAGCTCGGCCGGAGAGGACTTCTTCTTCCTGATAGACTGCCTGAAGGTTTGTAACTTTTTTGAAAAAGTTAAAATCAATTTTGCAATGCCAATTTGGCAATATGTGTTGAGAAGTTTCCTTTTTTATTTTTATTTAGTGCGCTAGTATAATGTGCCGGCGGGTTGTTTTTTCCTCTTTCTGTTAATGATTGACGATGCTGAAACTGAACTATAAAACCAGCCTTCTTTCTTTTTACTGTGCATGAGTTGATTGAAACAAATCCTCTCACTGTTTGAAGTATTAATGACTTTCTTTATTGTGATTTTTTAGTTGTCCCTGCTGTACTGAAGGCTTTGGCTTATGAGGAAATGAGAGGATCCTATAGCGTTGGTAAGTTAAGTGATTATAGTATTCACATTTCAGGAACGACAAGTGTTTTAACTTGCTTTTGGCATAATGCCGACCAAATTGATGTAGGACGTATTCAAATCAAACTATGATTTACCGTTAGCTGTTGACTGTTATAAAGATGGAAAATGTAGCCAAATGTTCCAACGTAATAGTAACAAAATGAGTAGATTGAGCGTGATCGTCCGCGTGAACGTAGTCTTGAGTAGGGCTGTTATTGACAGTCGATTTGATGTTTCGTCTGTCCTCCGTACGTTTTTTGTTGTCTTTCAGTGGCATTTGTTCTAAGTTAGTAAACCAGTTTTCGGAGAGTGGTTATCGTCTTTTACGCACAGTGTAATAACGTCGCGTCGATTTGATATTTCCGTCTGTCCGACTGGTTTGTTTTTGTCCTTGGCAAAAAGTAGTCGTCAGAAAGTGGTTATCGCTTTGTGTGTAACATGGTATAGTCACTGTCGTAACAGGGCAGGAGTTAACGTTGGTCTGAGGGTTTTGTCGGACAAAGTCCGCGTTGTAGTAAGCAACATAATAATAGAACTCTCCCACACGCCAGTGCGCTGGGAAAAAAAAAATGCGATTTACAGGCAATATGGGCTTTTGACTCCCTTTTTTATGTCCACTCGCTTCAGCATTTCAGTTAGTTAATAATACCAAATCAAGGGCGATTACCATCACTAAGTACTGGAGACAGGCCTGTCTAGCCCTTAAGAAAATTTCGCTATTCATCAGAGCTGTCCAGGGCAGATCAGTCTATCACGGCAGTGATAGAGTTTTGACGAAAACTCTCGAAAAAAGTCAACGTCATTTCCGGTCGGTTAATTGTGACGTTAGGTAAGCTCCCTAAGAGTATGTTGACCAGATTCAAGCGATTATTTTCTTGATATATAGGTAGCCACGTTAGAGATGGTGCTTGTTATGTTTGCTGGTCGTTTGCCAGGGCTTATGAACCTAAAGAGATTCTACCTCATGTGCACGAAATTGCCAGGTATGACTGACTACATCGCGTATGCCATGCTTACCCTTCTTGCAAATGTTCTCATGAACATCGAGCCTTAAAAACGGGAATCGAGAGGCAAAAGCGAAGTATCTGGTATTGCTGGCTCGTCTCTAACTAAAATGGTATTTTAAATAATATTGATTTTTGTTGTTCCATCCTTTTTATCTTTCCTACTTTGTAAATTAGTTTTATATTGGCGGCTGCATATAACGCTTCTATTTATTGATTATTGTTTATAAGAGGGCCATTAGATTATAATTTGCACAAGTGTCAAATGCCGCCCTCCTCAAGAGTCTTACGACTACTACTAACTCCGGGTGACGTTTTGTATTTTTTTTTCTTGTTTTCACAGCTCACTCGTTATCACTGCTTTGTTTGATCGAGAAGTGAACTGCAGAAGAGCAGCCTCCGTGAGTCACACTTTTCTCTTTTTCAGGTTTCTCTTTCGACTAAATGCAGTTTGTGGGAATGTAAATTCATAAAAATTTTCGTAGTTCAGAAACACCGAGGAGTGGCTGCATAGTGTTTGTGCGTGCAGATAGAGCTGGAATTAGAGTGAAGTGGGTTTTGAGGGGAGCAGATAAACCGGAGTACCCGTGAACCAATAAATCAGAACCTATCAGAGCGACGGCTGGTAATATTTTGCCAAGTAACCTCTGGTGCACTTTTAAATCACTATGGTGCAGCTAAGCAAGTACTCCACCATTGCTCCCTTCTCCGAGTGTTAATCACATCCAACAATGAAGACATCGTTAACGAAAAAAGTAGCTGCAATCACTCCCTCCGTTTGTGCGGGAATGTTGAGTCGAACAAAATAAATAAATAACTTGAATGAAGGAATAAACGAACGAACTTTTGGACCTTTGACTTACATGCTATTATGTTTCGGTTTCGCCCGGTGGTGCTAACTCCAATTGAGTTGTGCTAATGTGACGCATTTGTAATATGATTGTACTTTTATCCTTTTAAGGCTGCTTTTCAAGAGAATGTTGGAAGGCAGGTAAGTACTAAAGCTTTTCAGCGGGTTTTGAGCATTTTCATTTCATCGAAGAGGTTTCATTCATATCTCATTCTACACTGCAAAACAGTCGGTTTCCCTTTTCGAAATTCGGCTGTGCATGACGCGAAGCGACGGCTTGATATTTTTGTGCGAAGCGAGTGGGTATCACACGCCCGTTTGGCGTGTGTTGACCGCTCGCCCGCGCGTTTTACCCTAGGCAAAATACGGGTTGTTTTGCAGTCTAATTTTACTTATTTCTACCCTCACTTTTCATGCTCTTTATTTGTGTGGCCGCCTGTGGGAGTTCTGCAATGTTTGTGATAGCCAGTCAGTCAGAATATCTTTTAAATACATTTGTCAATTTGTCTCTATCCATTTCATATTGGTACCCTGTTCCTCGTTACAGTAACAGCGCCTACATTTTCTATCGTTTTTAGGGTACTTTTCCTCATGGCATTGATATTCTAACACTGGCGGATTATTACGCGGTTGGAAATAGAGTCAACACTTACCTGAGTGTTAGGTGAGGCTTTAGCGCTGTATTAAACACTCAAGGAATGTACCCGAGGAAAACAGATCATTTTGTTTCCCTGGGCAGATTTGCGGGACACGACATCGTGTCGGGCTCGCCTATTTTTAACGGTACATGCCACCATTGGTAACCAAGCCTTTAGTCATGAAAGCTGTAATACATTAAGTTACAATAAGGTGAAAATTACGTTTTTGAATGGTCTTAGAAAGAACGACGTTGAAGCCCAAGTTGAACTTACGTTTTAAAAGTCACCTGTCACCTGTTATTGATGTATCAGTCGAGAAAGACTGTTTGCTAGTTTATATACTTAAATTTTTCGAATTTTTGGCGGGCCGGTGGGGTAGTGTTGTGGTACAAGAGAGATATTAGAATTCGAAAGGTCTGGGTTCAACCCTGGATTGCGATCTTCTTTTTTTTTTTCTAATGGGAACACTCTCATTATTAGGTCAATAATTTTCTAAGTGTCTTAAAAATGGCAGTGACCGTTTACGAAAGGGAAATTATCGTCGGGCTCTCCATTCCGTGTTGTAAACTTTCACCCTTGAAAATCCCGTTCTTCCGACTAGCTGTCCCTAGGGTATCCTTTGATGCGAGAGATCAGTCATTAAAAACATCGATGTGACCGATTTTACCTCCAAGTAACCAATGAATGATAACGTAAGCTGTTGGGAAAACAAAACATTTATTCAAAAAATAGTTATCTATTTTTTCCTTGAGATGGGCTAACCTTTGATTCGTTTTTTCTTTTGTTTTCAGCGTGTCTATAGCACAATTCAAGGAGTATACTCGCGCATTGATAAACAATTTAGCAGACATCAGATTACAACACTGGGACGGGTAATAATGCTGTTTGTCTAAGTCTGCTTGCGTTGAACGTTAACCCCTTGAAAAGAACAGGCCTATTGTGGAAAAACATTTGTTAATTCTGAAAAACAGAAAAATATATGTAGACAAGGCCTTAGAATATAGCTTTCCTTTCTTTTCGCTCAAAAGTGAAAAAATATAAGTGAAAGTCGTAGCACGACTCGGTAAATAAACCCTGTTTTGTCCCTATTACTCAAGTATGTATCTTACGATTATTGTAGTTTCATATTAAATAGCTAACAAAACGTTGCCAATCAATAGTTTCGGCTCCTTCAGGCGTGCTTCTCGGTCAATCTTTCCCCGCCAGTCTTTCTCCAACACAAGCTTCGCTCGTTCGGTTAAGCATTTCTTGTCAGTAGAGAGTGAGATCGATCCCCAGCGCTATCCAGATTCCTCAATGAGACTTTATTTGACATTTCTTATTGGTCTTGCATGATTTTGTTTAGGAGTGTACGTGAACTTGCATCACAAGCTTTGCATAACCTGACCCCCACAGATCCAGAGTTCATGGCCAAAATAGGTAATACAGAAATTAATTTTCAACAGTCAAGACAGTTGCGACGACGTTGTGTGCAGTTGAAGGCCTATTTTAACGGCTATTGTTTCTTTTTTTCTTTTGCTTTGATTAGTTTTTCCCAAGATGCTCTCACAAACCAAGAATATTGATCTGAACACTCGCCATGGTAACATTCTGGGCTGTGCTAAAGTAGTTCATGCCCTTTTTCTATATGCTGGACAAATTGGAAGGTATACCAATCTGCTAACCTCGCCAGACTAAATATAATGGTATAAATTAAAGCAAGTTTGGTGAACGCTATTGTGAACACTTTTTTATTCCGGTTAAGCGAATTGAATTTTTGGTATAAAGTCCCAAGCCCTTATACCTTTTCTGAAATGAAAGAATATCGTTTTATACGTAAATGCATGATTCCCATCTTGTCAATTTGAACCGTTACTAAACGCGATTTCGCTCTTGCTGACCCTACGTATCCAGCATTCATAAATGCAAGCGTAAGCTTTTGGACGATAACTGAAATGTTATATGTGTTTCCTTTTTCTATTTGTATCCGATGTCTTTCACAAGACCCGTGGTCATGAATGCAGAAAAAAAATTATTAGAGGATTGAGGATTGTTTTCGACGTTAGGTTTACCTCTAAACCCCTTTTTTTTAAACCCTTTCTGGGATCCGTTAAATGTTTTTTTTTTGAATTTTCATTCTGCAGATCTTTGACAGACGTTCTTGACCAAGAATGTTTTGATGAATTAAAGGACATTGTACCTGAGGTAAAAGAGCGCGTGCGATGACTTTTGCCATCTCTTCCTCTAGCGAACTTTCATCATTTAGAGTATATCTTTGAAACAGATTTTAACTAAAGTTATTTCTCCCTTTGTTTCAGCTGACAGAGGCAAAGCTTTTCAGGTGAAGTATATTTTAATCTCTTTTCTTGCCATCCTTAATCCTCGCTTTCTATTAAGAAACTAATCTATTGATTGATTCATTTATTTGACTTACCCTCTGACTCTCTTCCGACGGGAGAGCCAGGCCTCTTGGAAGCCGCAGGGAGGTTGGGGAGAGGAATATAAAGAAAGCGCGCGGGGGATGATAGGAAGGGGAAAGAGAGTGAGAGAGACCTGGTAGATTAATTATTTCTGTTGTTAATTAAATACCCATCGGGAGCTGCCTCCTCAGAGGAGAGAGTCACCCACCTGCCTCCAGTCTTGTTACTTGGCTTACTGACTGAACCGGCTTTGCTTGTCTGTGCTTTCAATATTCGCCTGCTTTATTTGTTTAATTGTTTTCTCCCCCTCAGGGGCCTTGGAGGCGAGTTCATGCGTCAGGCAGGTACACGGTCTAATAACTAATACGATAACATTACGGTGTTGTATTATTATGTGCACACTATTAACCTTTGAACACGTCATGTTTACTCTGCTGAGAATCCTTAAAAGCTCTATTTGCTCTTTCAGTTTTGTCTTATCCTATTTTTCCTTTTAGTTTGTCATCTTATACATAGAGTATCGATATCTGGACTTCCTTGGCATGGCGATAAAATAATTGGTGAGTTAATTTAATTTGCAAGTTGTTTTCCTGTGACAAGATTAAAGCGCGAGTCTGAGTTCTAGTCTCGTAATTCCCAGCATTTGAAACGGCGATCTTGTGTTTTTCGCTGAGTACGTTAATTGTTAAAATTTGTAGTTCTTGTACTTTGAGGCGGTTAAACTGTAACGGCCGATATTTCCTTTTTCTTCCTGCAGATCTTTTTCAAAACGTCATTGATGACAACCTCTCTCACACTGAACCGGAAATTCAGGTACGAAAACGTTGGATAAATTGAAATGACTTTGATTTTTCTGATCTAAATCCATTAATGATATCCTGTCTAATTTCTTTTCTCTTTATCTAGGAAGGCGCTGTTCGAGCCCTTAGTGCCTTATGTCTGCAGTATTACGTTAAACCAGACGGTACTGCTATCGTTGAAATTCAAGGTAATGATACTTGGTATTCACGAGCTCAAGCAGCCTCTAGACACACTCTATTTTGCTTTGTAAACAAGTGGATTGCAGTTTATCAAATTTGATGTTTTTTTTTTTTTACTTAAAGGGGGGGGGCAGATTTGTGTAATATCATTCGTGCTGACGTTTTAACTTATCTGCTACAGATAAAATCATCAGCCATTACCTTGAACAATTGAAGAGTTCTTCGCAGTTCTCCAGGTAGTTGTACGTAAACTGTATGCTGTCTGTCATCTCATTAGTTATAAAACTGGGAGTTTGTGGTGAAACCATGAGCGCTGGCGTTTGTAATGGAAAGATAATATGAATGTTTGGTATTGAACTCTTGTATGAAGAATTACGTGTTGAAAATGTGACTGCAATAATATTGTGGTGACATATAGTGCTATCGACTTTCCCGTTGAGGCAAAGCAGTGACATGATCGGCGGTATATACGGGTACTACTTCATATAATTCCTTACTGTAATGTGATGACACCCAAGTTAATTTAGAAATGACTTGCTTGGCCCAAGTCGGTGAGAACCGCTAGCCCTAGAACTAACAAGTCGGATCTCGTTATTGTTCTTTATCGACAGTAGTTTGTATGAACCTTATGAAAATTGGTCAACAATAATAAGTCTTAAGTAGGTTGAATACGATCGTCCGGGTGAATACTACGGTAACACTGTCCATACAGTGGTTGAAGAACTTTTAGATACTTGTTTGCTTTTGTTTGTTTGTAACTGTGTCGCGTTTCTTTGCAGAGCTGGCTTTGCTCAAGCTTTAGGAGCTCTACCAAAATTTTTTCTGCGAACTAAATTAAAAGAGGTGGGGTTTTCTTTTCTTGGTGTTTTTGTTTGCTTAGTTTTTTTTATCGTTGTCAGAATTCATACTTATTGTACAAATACGGTAATATCTAAAGGTAGATTTTGAGTTTTTGATAAAACCGTTCAGTTTCGCCCTGATTCATGTAGAAGTGTTTGTTTTTCATAACAAGGAATGAGCGCTTGACAGGCACGATTACACCATTCTCAAGCTGGTTTTTACACCCAAAAAGTTGCATCATCAAGAATAGGTTGCGTATTTTTTCTCCATGCATTTAACAAGTGAAACAAATCGGCACCATTTCAGACCATTTGATCCTCTGGAATAGTATCTCTTAAGAAGCCCTCGCTCATTTGGCCATTTTAAACTTTCTCTTGAGACTGGATCGGTGCTGTTCCCTATTGCACCCTGTGACTTTTTTGGGGGACGAATTTTGATCCAGTTTCCTGCCCAACTTAGTAATAGCCGGTAAAAGAAGCAATCGCGTCCCTAGGTACAAGCCGGCTTTGGGCGCAGTGAAAATGGGATCTTTTGGGCAGCAAGCGTTAGTTTTGCTTGGTAGATGATTTTCAAGGCAGCCATTAACAAAACCAATCATAAGTGCCCAGCCAAACGATCCCAGAAGTCGTTGCGCCGAAAGCTTGTACCCATTCCCCCCCATAGTTACTGTACTGGGGAATTTCAATTCGACACAGCATCGGCCCATTCTCATCTGCTACCGGCCAATTCATATGGGGGAATAAAACTAAGATTCAATCATTGTGATTTACAAACAGGTGATCTTAACTAGTTAACGGTTTACAGTAGTTATAGACAGTATTTGTCCGAGGCAATTGAGTATTCATATTTTGGTTCAGGTGTTTTCAGGTTTGATCAAAGCATCTCAGGTGGCCAGTGACGCGGGTATATTTGCTGAATCTAGAAGGGATGCCATTACAGCTCTTGCCAGGTAATCCTTTATCAGAAACTGCTAAGTAAATAAATAAATGAATAATGATTTAGAGGAACCGCATCCAAATAATGGTTCTTTGTCTACCACTCCCGATCCAATTTTTGATTTGGAAATGTAAGATGTTGAGGTGAAAAAGCGGATCACCCGGACACCTGAGAGCGAGCTAAATAATCAAGGGTGAGAACAAACGACAAACTTAACCCACATATGGCGTCGACGCCTGGACTTGACCCCTGGCCACATTGGTGGGAGGCAAGTTCTCTAGCCACATTAGTTTTCATGAACAGGGCCCCAGCTGCAGATAATTCTTTCGAGGTTTAAAGTTAATTACATTACCTACAGTACTGTGTAAAAGAAATGCGAGCAAAATTTGCCGAAATCAGCTAAATTACTCGAATTTTGGCAATCAAAGTCCGAACTTTCGTTTCAGAAGAAAAAGCGGCGAAATTTCGGTGCTTCTGTTGTTCTAATGTCGACGAAATTTCGCAAGCAAGGCGATGAATCGAAACGAAATTTTTTCAGCATGAGACGAAATTTCTTGTCATTAGAACGAAGTTTCGCTTCGTAAATGTAAGTCGAAATGATTTACTTAAAGAATATAGTAAGGTTTAACAGCGCTCGCGTAAATAACACTTTATATAACGTCCTTTCCTCCTGTAGCAATAATTGCGCAGGTTAATTTGCCGGGTATACTGCGCGTTTAACTTGATGAAAACGTTTTACTATGAGAGTATCATCTGCTTAAATTACATGGCATACCTCTAAGTAACCATAGTTCCTTCTCTAAAGGATATACTTCGGCAACTCACGGTTTAATCCAGGAATTCAACTTATATTGTTTCAGAATTGCAGTAACAGTTGGCCTAAATAGAACTGGTGATGAGGAACACACTGTTTATGAGAAAAGTCTACGAGAGCTTTACGATGCTTTTACCGCCGCCATGTTGGATTACACAATTGACAACAGAGGTGATGTGGGAGCGTGGTGAGTTGAGTTAATTTTGTTGCGAGTAGTTGGATTGAGAAATGTACTATTGCCAGTTTAAAATATTAATAAGGGTGCGGTACTTTTGGAGTAAGATGTTGGTCGAGTCTGTGGCTGCGTTCACACTGGTTACCGGCAAAAATAGTGTTGTGTTCACACCGGCTCTGGATCCCCAATAACTATCTCAGTAGACATTTGCTCCATTTCACTGGATTGTAGTCAAATTGTCTCGGAACTAACAGTAAAGCGTCTACACACAGGGACCCGATTTCAACTTTATTGGGCGGGGTCAAACTTCACGTTAAACTTGTTTTTTCTTTTGTTTGTTTGTGGCCGCAGGGTACGTGAAGCCAGTATGTCTGCACTAGAAACTTTAACACGTTTTGTTGTCGAGAATGATTCTTCCCTACTGACACCCGAGATGTAAGTGAAAGCTTTGTCAGTGTAAAATGTCTTTATCCAATGTGTTTGTAGAATGTCTTAGTTTAATGTCTTTTCATCCTTTCATCCTCAAGACAATGACTCCTTTGAAATACAGACTGTTGTACGTGGCTTCTGTCAGGAGACCACATCAACTTAAAAGCAGGATATTTTAATATCTTAGGCTCTGTTCCAGCGCCTCAATAATACGAGCACCAGGCCCTTGTGCTTCACAGCAGACACCTCTTGCTGTGGTCTAGGAACCCTTTAGGACACCAGATATGCCCTTTACGGTTTAGTTTACTCCTTACCGTTCGTTGCTAAACATTAGGGAGGGTAAGGCCCACACACGGGATACAGCATTGCTCGTAGTATTGGCTAAAGATTGAAGTAGACACCTTTGAATGCAGTGTTGGAAGCAAAAGATAGGAAATGAAATTCACCGCGCGCATTAGTGATCAAGTGCGAAGAGATTATACTTAGTGCTTGCCTGATTTGCTGTTTTGTTGATTTCTTCTTTTTTTTTGCTTAGTTGCCAGAATGTTATGTACTGCCTAGTTCAACAGGCCTCGGAGAAGATCGATCGAACAAGAGCACATGCGGGCGAAATATTCTTGAGACTTCTCTATATGGACAAGTAGGTCACGTGTCTACGTAAATTAAGAAAATCTGTTGTTTTCCCAAATCTGTCAACTTTAATTTAAGCAAATTAGACTTTAGAAAAAATTTCGATGCCATTTAAAGCACAGTTCAATTTACACATTCAATTAACTAAGAATATTGTTCCTCATAGCGATTTAATTGTAGGTTAATTATAGAATAAATTGGTCTCTCGAAATCAATTTTCAAGCTGAGCCCAAGATGCTAACTACGTCGCTCTACATTTTTGAATAGAAAATATGTATTAGCCGAACTGGAAACTAAGGAGGAACATGGCAAATATTTCGCTATTTATAGCAGTAAAATAAAGTAAAGAACATGGTAAAGAACGTGTTTGGTCTCCTTCGACTCCTCTCTCTCCCTCTCTCACTTCCCAAACAAAATAACAAGAACTTTTTTCCATCCCACTTAAGCTTAGCTCAAAGATTGTGAGTTGAATTTAACAAAAGCATTTAGTTCACGCTTGATTTTCCTTTCTTCAGTCCTTGTTTGCCCCATATACCACATCACAGGGAGCTTCTTGAAATTTTTCCAAGGTAGGCGAAATGTCTTGTGTTCTTTGTAAGTTATAGGCTCGTATTGCCCAATATTTTACAGTCTCACTTTGAGAAATTTACAAGGATTTTACACCTCCGATTGCTCTCTGCAACTCTACTTGCAATGCCGGCCGATCATTATCGCCATCAACCCTTTCAGAAGTCACTATACGACGTCACTTGGCAATATGATCATTTGTAGCCAGGTGTTTTTTTACGTTTGTGTATTGATGAATTCGTGTGGTTTGTGTTTTATGTTTTTCCTTTCTCAAATGAACAGCACAACCTTTCACTTTTCTCCTGTTTCTCTCGCAATTTATACATTTACGTATTTTTTTTTTAGAAAGGACTGTTTGGAGATGAACTGGAGCGCTCCCTCGGAATGCTTTCCCCGAATCACAAAGCTTCTGGGTTTGCCATCCTACAGAGACCCTGTGCTACTTGGTTTAACAGTAAGCGTTGGAGGCTTGACAGAATCGCTGGTGAGTAAAAGATATATCACTAGCCATTCATTCCTTGTTGTTATGTTATCGAATCAACCAGAGTGTAACCCCGGTATAACATACCCTGGTATAACGAATGACATCTTTGGCTCCAGGTCTGCATGGTATAATTATGGATAAGGACCCTGATATAACAAATATTCCCGTTATAACTAACATTTCCTTGTCTCTGCCACATTTTTGTATCGGGCTTCGATCCTCTTTTGCAAAATCTCAGATCTTGTAAAATTGTTCTTTTGGAATTGTACATAGCCCCCCCCCCCCCCCCCCTTATCTTTGGACCAAGAATTTATTGGGTCTGGGCCCCTTTTCTCATTTCTCAGGGTCTGGATGACCGCATACCCTTCCCCCCCCCCCCCCTGCCCTCTTATCTTAAGGCCTGGATCCGCTACTGTATTGATCTATGATAACAGACAACATGCATTGGCAAACTGCCCTAATTCAATTAATTCCACCTTTTCTTTTCTTCCGTTAGGTTCGGTTCTCCTATACTTCATTGCTTAAATTTCTGAAAAGCATAAACGACAGGTAAACTAAGAAAATTTGTTTCTTTTAATGAGTTCAGTTTGTCTGAAGCTCAATATAGTGACATTGTTTCAATGCAACAGACCTAGTTGCTCAAATGTCTCTCGTCAGTATAATAAATAAGTTACCCAATGTAAGGTGATCCGGAATCCGGGAAATTTTTGATTATGGAATCCGGAATCCTGGGGTTTGGTTCCGGAATACCGCTTAAGGAATCCAGAATTCCAGTAACGATTGGAATCCGGAATCCAAGTTCCACTGACGAAGAAGGGGAATCTAGTACCTGGAGTCCGGAACCCACGGTGTGGAATCCAGAATCCAAGACTCTCTGATTACCTTAATAGATGCACATGGGACGAAATAAGAATACCGTTATTTCTTGATTCTTTTTTCCTTTGTGACTCATAAAAGAAACAGGTAAAGGTAATTTTATGCCCAGTTACAGGAAACAAACAGACTCCGACCGGATGTATACTGGCCTTGATCAGGAATGTAGATCAGTTATTAATACTCAGCCTGTTTTTCAGCAATCTGAAATTATCCGTTCAATTGCTCTTAAGTTATTAAGTTACTTAAATTAATCGTAAATTAGTTGTCAAATATTCTAAGAGAAATATTCATGGACATTTCTATTTCGTGTGATTTTAGTGAGAAAGAGATGGCTGCATTTGGTGAGACCCTTTTAAAGATGTACAGAAATAATCAAAAAAATGACAGGCAAGTAAAATGTATTAATAAGGTTTTGTGGAACTAGAAGTAAGTAAAAGACAGCGTTATGAAAAGTGCTTCAGAATCCTATTTGTCACAAAGTGAATAAGGGCTTTTAATTCCCGCAACAGCGCTGATTCAGGGTTCTTCACCGTCTAAACGAAGGCTTTTTTAGTTAAACTGTGCATTATAACTGGCATTGTGACATCAAACGTTAAAGGCATTATTTTCACAGAAATATGAGTGAGTAAGAAGAATGTTTTTTTCGTCGGAAACCTTAAACGAAATAATAAAACAAAGCTTTGCAAGGGCCGTGAAAAATTTAATTTAAAACACTGCTCAGTGGTACAATAGAGGGTCAATCCGTGCAAGCCCAGTAACATAGTGAATTTCCCCTTCATTACAGTTGTAGGAAAGGCACTGTGTCGTTAGCAAGGCCTTGCCTCACTCTGCTTATCTCTGTGGTTAACCTAAGTCTTTTGCATCACAGAATAATAGTTCCTTTGTTTAAGATGCTTGATATGCTGTTATCTAATGGATGCTTTGACATGTTTGCGAAAGAAGAGAGGTAAGTTTCGGAAGATTTTTTAATTTTATGTTTGTTGTTATCTGTAATTGTTACTGATGAAACTTGTTACTGCGAGTTCGATTAAAATCTTTGAACGGTTGATACGCCTTATCAGTGGAAGAACTTGAAGACAAACGTTAGTTCGTCTTCTTTTATGTTAGCCTGCAATACAGGTGTTTTTGTTGTTGTTGTTGTTTTTTCTTCTGTGTGGGCGAAAACTGCTTGTTTATTTTCTTAATCCCGTGGCAGCTATAACTTTGATTTTATCACTTGGAAAAATTGAGAAGAGTGCAAATATCAACCGTTGGGGTAGGCGTGTAGGGAATTCGCTGCATTATAAACGGGAAGAGACCTGGAGCCAAATGTGCCCCGTAATCGTTTTTAGGATCGTTCCTGGGTACGCGCCGGTCAGCTATTGGCCTTATTTCCCCTATACCCAGAAGCCTTTGGGAAAGTTTTTCCCTAATTCCTGTTTATAAAGTGGTGAGTAGTACGCCAGTAACAAATCTAGAATTGCGTTGCGAGGCAAAACAGACTAAAAGGACAATTAACAACTGAAACAGAATAAGTACGCTTCCGATTGATTAACTGTGTTTGCCTGTTTTCAAATTCGTACAGCCATCCGTTCCCTCAGGCGCTGTGTGACCTCACAAAGAAAGAAATTTTTAAACTTGGTGACGCCAAGAAGCTCATAACGAGTATTACTGTGTAAGAAGTTTATGTTGAATCACTGATTTGTCGTCAGGTGTCATTGCGTACTTGAAAAAACGGCTCTCTACCAGCAGTTTTATAAAGAAATCTAAAAATCATCTCCTCAAATGTCAGCTGTAGTTTCTTTCCCCTTAGATTTCCAACTTAAGCTTATTTTGTCAGTTATTATAATTATATCTATTATCGCTTTGTTTTATGAAAGCTGTAAATTATAACTTCTTTCCCCTTAATGCATGATACATGTTCCTGAATGAGCTGATGATATTTTTATTTAGGTTTACCACTATTGCCTTTTGAATTAATTTGTTGTTGTTGCTCTTTTTTGTTTGTTCCTTTCCTTATTTTGCAAATTATCAGCAGCCAACTCGAAAGCTTTGCTACTTTGGCTGTTGATAACATAAGATAAAACGAACAAGATGAAGACACAAAGTGTTTAGTGTGTATGTGGGTGGTATTTCTGATTTTCGTGCCTTGATATACTGCTAGGTTCTGTGGATTGTTGCAGTTCCCAGGAGTGACAAGAACCAAATCCTTTCAGCAACTCACAATTTTTCTCTGCCATAAATATCCCCAGGTGAGCCTCCTTGTTGATTGAAGTCGTTATGCATGTCTAGGGCTAGTAGCGAGAGGTAGATAGAGTGAGCGGTTGAAGACAAAAAGGTGGACAAGGGAGCTCTGTAATGATCGAACGAAAACACGAGTTTCAATTGCTATCCACTGACCTTAAATATGGGTTGACATAAACTTGTTCGTGCGCTTAGTATGATCAAGGGGCCAGTCAGTGCGTGAGTCTTCTTAACGTTGGTTTTCGTGGCTAACATGTGAGCCTCAGCACCGTCTTAAAAACTCTTTAATTAACACCAGACGTTATCAGTTGCCTATAAAGCTAACTGGTCCCAGAGTACGTGAACGTTTCAATAAAACCATTAGCGGGATTTTAAGCCTCTCTATATATTTTAGTCGTCCACTTCAATCTTTTAAAGTATTGTAAACTTATACCTGTGTATTTGAGGATAAGATCGGCTTCTTCTAGTGCTTGGTCTCGTGATGTCCTCTGGTATCAAAAGTTCTGTATTCATTATCATTACAATCTCAAAAATCTGACCCTGAGTCTTCTTAAATACTTAACAATACATTTCAATTCTTGTATACCCCTGTTAGTTCTTGATATCTAGATCTCACGCTAATTTTGTTTGCAACTAAAGCTTTAAAACACAATTTCCAGGTCCGGAAAACTACCGCTGATCAACTGTATTCGGCTGCATTAACATTTGATGACATAATTCCTGTCGAAAGGCTAGATGACGTGTTAGCGATATTGAGCGAAACCTCATGGTAAGAGTGTGTATATGTTATCTTCTTGGTGTCTCAACCGTAATTTCAGAATAGATGTATGACAGAATACATTTTGGGTTGCCAAGATCAGAATGCCAGCTTAGTAAAACAATGAGGCTTCTGCCAGGAAAAAAAAAACGTTTTTGCCATTGATTATACGTACCCTAGAATTATATCCAAAGATTGAGAATCAGCGGCATCATGTACAGCATAATCAACAGTGATCCCAGTAAGTTTTCTTGGATTAGTCCAGGTTATCCAGCCACGGACTCAAAGTCCTACACCTTTTACTCAACGGCATAACATCAAAAGAAATCTCTAGGAGTTATTCCTTAACCCTTTCACTAACTCTGTAAACGCTTTCGACGAATGTATTTGATTACTGGCGCGAGTGCCTTTTTGTTGTTAGAGACTTTAGTTTTACCGACTAGAGACTAGTCTGGTTTTATCGTTTGTAGTTTTCAAGTTCTTGTTGTCTTTTTAAGGGATGCAAAAATTGAAGATCTTCGAGTGACAAGAAACAACCTATGTGATATTCTAGGTATTCCTCGCCCGGTGTTGAAGGTAATGTGCTTCAACTCATGATATCAAATGATTTTGGTTTTCAGAATTTCACACTTAGATTTCACTTTTTAGTACAGAAAGGAAGATTTTTTCTCTTTATTTTTGCGATAAAATTTAAGTTCTAGGGAGGTATTAGATTTCATTCCTATCGAACTTAGCTCCATAATACTAACTTTTTAAATTTATTTTCCCCTTTAAAACTGAACTTGATAGTTTATTGAATTCAAAATGATGAAAGTAGTTTTTTTTCCGTTTTATTTTTCAGAGCACTGGAAAAAAAGCTGCCGTCAGTGAAAAGAAAGATGAACTAGATAGCTACAAAGGTTAGGAAATGAATACCATCTATCGTTGATGCCAGGCCATAGATATATATTTTGCCGCGGCGATCTCTGTTTGGTGTTTTGATAGAGCTATTTATTTTCTGCTACAAGGTTGTTAATTGACTGAATAAATTGCTTTTTGAGAGGCTGACGTTAATGTCAGAGTTTTTACTTAATTACTTCATAGACTGAAGAAACTAACCAGCGTGCTGTTTAATAAATCAGTCGACCGACTGATTAATGGACAGCAGGAGCCCATTTTTTGGAAAAAAAAGTAATCCTGAACACGCTCGGAAGAATTGCAAGGTCTTACGTATACGCAGGGAAGGAGAATTTTTTGCTATCCCTACGGTATTTGCTTTAGAGGACTCCATATAGAAAAAATTGTTTTAAGTTGGAATGAGTACTCCTTTTGTTCCTTGATATGGGACAGGAGCCCATCAAATTTGATAGGCTCCTGTGGACAGATAAAGCGTTTGTGCGCGAGTCTGCAAGTTATTGATTGACTGACTGGTCAGTTACAGATTGAGTGAATTATTGGTTGATTTATTGATAGATCAGTTTATTTATAACCGATAGACTGTTTACCTGATTTGTTGAAAAGTGATCTGCATTTCCTTTTTGTTTGTTTGACAGATCTGGTAAGTCGTCATGGTTACTAGACAATCTAAAAAGGAAATTCAACCAAGTTGTAAACTGGAGAGCATGCAGATAAGATGGATCGGGACAATTCTCAAGCTGGTGCTACTCGGATCCTCTCGTAAGGCACATGAGAAAACTGCCTTGCCAAATCAACTTTCATTCCATCTTATGCAATGGAGCAATTCGAACTGTTGAACCCAGCATATCTAAACAAGGAGACTATTATAGCTGATTCTTGTGAATAAGACGTTTTTCAATTACAGTGCATCTTATTGCTCATGGATATGGAATCCGAATTTTGGTTTCAAATGAGGTGTGGTGCAAGAGCAGCGAGAACGGTTTTGTCCATCTGGAAAAACTGGTTTGAAATTTAGTGATTAACTAGAGGACGACTACCGTAGCTGCTGTTTCAAATTTGTCTGTGTAGGTCTTGTTGTTGGTATTACATAATATGTAAATATGAGAAAATTTTAAAAAGAAGCCTCGTGAGACTTATAATATAACTTATTCATTTATTTTATATTCTTTTATTCAGTACGCAAACATCATAACTATTTCTTTTCATTTTCTGATGTAATTGAGAACATTCGTTATGCGGTTTATGCTGCTGCTCCTGGCTTGTATACGTTCTTGTAAAGATCTTGAATAAATTATTGTTCACTAGTGATTTATATATCGTTGAGTAACCATGTACAGTTTCAGTATGTTGTTAACGCAGACAGAAAAAAAACCCTTGCTTCCCTCTGTCCCTCACCTCTGAGGTGTTGATAGTTGCGGGCAAAGTAATACGGGGTGCAACCCTGCAATAGGCCGCAAGCCAGTCCAGCACAAGAGGTTTGGGAAGGGGTAGAGAGATTATACCGACTCCTACAGCTGCTTCGTGCTACAGTAAACAAGTTCCTTTACTTTTCTATTAGATTTCGCTTAGCTCACCAGGATTGAAAAAAGAACTGGTCATGTCACCAACCGTCGAACAGGAACTAAGATATACTAAATGAAAGGTCAACTACTCAAGTGGGTGGAGACGGGGGAAAAATAATTAGTTGATAAATTTAACCCGGTACGAGGTAAAACTGGACGGCGCCAGGTGGTGTGATATTTACAGGAAGATTCGAACTTTCGTAACTCATCACATGTTGCGGTGTTTGGACGAACGGAGTAAATGATGTTTATGGAGGACGTGAACAAGCCACGACGAAATCCTCTCGAGTTTTTTAAGTTGGATAGAAAGTTCACCTACAGTTTTCCCACAAAGGCAATTTCATGGCAGGGAAACTATGCAAAAAGTAGTCTGAAATTAAGACTGCAAAGAGCGTTGCAAGTGAAATAACAAACGCAACAACAGCGAGTTAAAATTGGGACTATCAAGTTTAATAAAATAACGAGAAAGCAACTCCATCGTAATAACGATGTATTATAACAATGCGCGAAATACACTCCAAATTTACAACTTATTTACAATACTTTATGAATTCTTTGTTACAATTTGTTCTTCGCTTTCAAGTACAGGTTTTTCATACGTCAAGGTGCGTCGACAAGGCAGTTCGCAAGTCAAGATATTCGTTGTTTGTTTTAAGTTAACACCTGCTTTTGTCAATTTGGACTTTCGTCGTGGTTGAGTTCGCAAAATATTTCATTAGTTTCTCCTCAGTCGCGCGGCTCTCGTATCAGTTTAGTTATATTCGTTTCTTTGTGTTGCGAAGAACAGTTAGTATTTTAGTTCGTCAAGTCGTAAACGTTTCGGAAGTCTACAGGTGTGTCCGTACGAAGTCCGTCATTATTATAGTACTACATGCAAGTGAACTGGAAAAGAAAAGAAAAATTAAAAATCAAGGTAACCGTACAGTCAAACAAAATGTTCAAATAACTTTAGCACACAATCCTTGCTGCGTGGAAGAAACCATTTCTAATCTTTGAATTCGCAAAAGAGAGTCTTAATAGTAAATTAATTGTGAAATAGCAAAAGTCACACACAGTCAATTTCCTTTAAGCGCGCTCTCCTCGGATTCTCCGGGCGAGCTGAATGTCCTTAGGCATGATCGTTACACGCTTGGCGTGGATGGCACAGAGATTCGTATCCTCAAACAGTCCCACGAGGTACGCTTCAGCTGCTTCTTGCAAAGCCAGCACGGCTGAACTCTGAAAACGCAAGTCGGTCTTGAAATCTTGTGCTATTTCTCGAATGAGTCGCTGGAAGGGAAGCTTGCGGATAAGCAACTCTGTTGACTTTTGGTAGCGGCGAATTTCTCTCAAGGCGACAGTACCTGGCCGGTAGCGGTGAGGTTTCTTTACTCCACCAGTTGCCGGTGCACTCTTGCGCGCTGCTTTTGTTGCAAGCTGTTTGCGAGGAGCTTTTCCACCGGTTGATTTTCGAGCTGTTTGTTTGGTACGAGCCATGGCTTAAGTCGTAAGTTCTTGAAGCTTCTTTCCTGGCGGAGTGCTTGTACAGCTCTTGGTGTTGTGACTTTCTTATTTATTTGCCAGGAGCTTATATAGCTCCTCAATATTAATGCATGTAAAATATGCAATAAAAAATTGTCAAGTTTGCACGGGCGTATCGCAACCTCAAAAAGCGTTCGAAAGCGTTGTTTTTCAACTTTTGGGTGTTGAAACGTGTAACAATGAACAAATGATTCTCATTGGCTAGTTTCTCATTCTTTGTTTTAAACTAACCAATCGCCGTTCCAGTGGTGTCACAACTATTGACACTATTTTGGCGGGAAAGATTAAATTAGCGCCAGCCTTAATTGCCAGCCTGAAGCCAGCGTGGCTCTGTGTTTCTCGTGCATGCAAGGCGAAAAAAAAATATGTCTAATTGTCTTTGCTGAACTAAGCAATCGCAGGGTCGGTTGGATTTTTCCTTTTTCGCTTTCGCACTTTTCCATATTAATATTAGTCATCGCCTCTGCCCTGAGAAAAAAATTGTTGACAAGGTTACCGTTCATCGCATTTTATTTATTCACATGCAGTTCATGTATATAATGAACTCAAGACTTGTCTACCATTTTGTCTTTGTCGTTCCTTAAATAAACTTTCAGTTTTTTACTATTATTTCTTTCCTTTAGTTTACATGTCTTTCTTTCTCTTTTTTTTATGTCTCTCACTGTGTTTGTTTACCAAAAAAACTTCTGGTCATACTAACAACTTATTGCAGTTTTAAGAACAATCATTGGTCCTGACTAAGAAATTAGTACAAATGAAAAAGAGCTTTCAACTTTTTAAATATATTTACACTTAATTCATAAAACGGTGCAAAAGAGAGACTACTCTCGAAGTCTAACTGCAAAATAAATACATAACCCCTTTTCTGCGAGGCACGTCATTTAAATTCTTTGAAAACTTTGTTCAGCTTCGACTCTTTTACTTGTAGGTCTTCATAACATCCTAGAAGGAGGAGATTGTGCACTGTTATTTATCGTCTGATACAGTTAGGTATAAATTTATCTCTTTTTACCGGTATATGATCTGCTACAGTCCAGAGGTTTATAGTCCAGTTTCTATCAGCCTAGAGCAATTTTGTGTTGACAAAACGCTAAAAAAAGCAATCAGAGTTTTTATTACCTTGAAAACTTGTATGCCTCAGAGTGTTTCTTTTTGTGATAAGTTAAGTTTTGTATTGTTGTGCAGTATTGTTCAGTGTCGGCTTTTAGCCTCAGTTTGTATCACGTCATTTAGTGATTGCGCCCATCCGCAGCACTAAGAAACTACAAATAGAAGCCTGACAGAAGCCAGGAAGCTTATCGCGGTGTGGATAATTCGTGTAATCATTACAAAAAGACTTAGACCCTGTTTACATGGAGTGGGGGAGCCCGGTCTAGTGGGGTAGGTTTCTTTTGTTTTGTGTCCCACAGAGCATGAAAACAAAAGAAACCAACCCCACTAGACCGGGGTCCCCCACTCCATGTAAACAGGCCCTTAAACCGGATACGAAAAAGTGTTTAGCCAACATTGTGTTGCCAACTGCACGCACTCTCGTGTAGTAATAATAATTCGGCTGTCGCCACCAATTACCTCAAATTGTCGCAACAAAGTGGCAAAAATTCCAAACAGTTCTTCCGGCTTGATAGATTCCTCGCCAAAGTACTGAACCAAGAGGTGAAATTCTCTTTTCACGGCTTTTCGCAGCAATAAAACATCATTAAGTTCTTCCTTTGCAGTGACGGTAAATAGCTGTTAGCCAATTGTCAAGGATATTTGATGAAGCTCAGAGTTCTGTTTTTTTCTTTAACCTCCTTTTTAATATGTACTCCGGCGTTTCCGATCGCCCTCTCTTTCCTAAAGGAGGGCCACCCGGTCGAATAAAGAAAGGAAAAGAATATAACTGGGGGTGGGGCTGGTAGGACGCTATGATCAGTGGTTTCTGGATAACTGACAACCCACCCCTCCCCTGACGCCGTACGTTGTCCGAATAAGAAGTTGGTGTTAACGACGGGTTTCAGGAGGGTTACGTGGACAGAGAATCTAGTTCTGATCTAGAAAAAATGTCAAGACATTCAACAACGATATAGAGCGTGCCTTTCACTTTCCTTGCTGAAGCGAAATCTGTCTTGACAAAACGTTGATGATAGTAGGTTTGGTGTCCATGACGGTAATATTGATGTCAATTAATAAAAAAAAGTCATATACAGCGAACTGTGTTTAAAAAAAGTGTACAGCTCTACCCCGCAGCCCGTTAATTATTCAGGAATACTCCATGCCACTTTGTTTGCACTCATCCCTAATCCATCATATTACTTTCACTGAAAATTATGATTCCATATTGGTGGACATCACTTGAAACAAATAAAATGTGAGTTAGATTTCATGACGAAACTAAGGATACTTCAATGCTCGTACGAAAAGCATCCTCGTCTTCTTTAATGCATTCATTATTTATTTTCTCGACATCCTCTTCTAGAACCTGCCAAAAAAAAAACAGTTCAAAAAATGTGGTCTGTATGAGTGTTAATGAATCAACTTAAATTACACTCGTTACGTACCGGTTAAAATTTTTCTCACCTCGATCTCTGCCGTTAGCTCGGTTATCTCTTTGTCCAGCGACTTGAGTGGAACTAAAAAACAGAAACAACAAAAGCCAAACAATCGGATGTTGAAACACTTCCTCTCAAACAAGCAAAACAAAACAAACCACCAAACTAACGATAGAAAAACAACAACAAAATATTGGGTCATTCAAATTAAGCAATTGTTTTTCTAAAACGAAAGTAGACAAAACCAATTATTTTCTAAAACCATCAGATGAGGATATCTAAAAACTGTATTTAACAATTATTTCTCGAGCCCTAATGGGCTCTGAGTGAAATAGCCTGTGAGGCCAAAGGCGAAACAAGTTTAGCTGGCAAAACGCGATTCAGCCACCGTTGTTTTGGTTTTCAAAGCCGGCACTTTTCGCTACTAGTGGGCCATAACATATAGCCTAGTAGTAGCTCAACCAATCAGAACGCAGCACTGATAATAGGCCACTACTTGGATTTTACCAGATGAGAATATCTAGATCAGTGAAATGATATACCTCGTGATGCTTGTTGGACATGTTTGAGATCTTCTTCTAACGCTGCAATGTGCGGACACTTGGTAATGATGACCTTAGTGAGGTAATCCAGAACTGATATCCTCTTATTCATGGATGATTTATAATCCATCAGCTATGAAAAGAAAGAAATATTTTTTGCCAGTCATTCTCTTGTAAGTAGTCTGTCTTGCGTCACCATGGCTTTCAAGAAGTCAAACAAATCCGTCGCAGAAGAACTCTTTTTATCACTACCTTAATTAATTCAAAATGGAAAATGGCTTTTTTCTCATTAACAGTAATCTTCTTCAATGCCTACCTTTGTAACAAATGTTATCTTAAAAGCACAGGCTTCGCTACCGTTCATGATATTTCCCATGGTCAAAAGCAGCTATAGAGAAAAGAAATATAGAATTTTTTTTGATAATTAAGAGGTTTTGCCGAATGTTTAGCTTTTAAAAGATACGCGCTTAGATTTTCAATACCGTTAACTAAAGCCCTTAAGTTTTCAATTGGGCTGGATTAGTTTCTGCCATAAAAAAATGTATATTGATAGCAGGGTAGATGGTTAACTTAGTGAGGAGAGTAAGTTTGCTTTATTATAATTATCGTCTTTCACTCCTTATCAAATTACCATTATCATTATTATTATTATTAATTATTTTTTCCTCTTTAGAAGGGGTTGTGGGATCGCCTTTTTTACGAGGTGATACCTCTATAAATGTTGTAAGCTTTTTACTCGACATGAGCTCTTGACTTGCTGTTATCACTGTCTGGAGATACTGAAAAATAAATCACAAAAATGCTATTTTAAACTTTTATACCTCTCTAGAAAAAACTGCACAATCACTCTCTTCATTTTGTTTCGCTCTTTCACAGTGAAACGTTAATGAATTCTGGAATATACTTTGCTGTTCAAAAAGAAGGACCTCCTTCAACCTGTCAATCTAGCTACAATATTCGCAAACTGTAATGTAATACAAATAAACTTGTCGAATTGGCTCCGAAGTAGACAGTGGCTGACAAATAGAGTGCTCTTATGTGCGAATCCAGGAAAAAATTATCGAAAAATCGCGATTTCGGATAACGCAAGGTGGGCGCATGCGCCAACGAGTTTCTAATTCAAACAAGCAAAACCAGCATTCTTATTTTCAAGATAACATTTCCTTTCACTGTAAAATACATGACGGAATATCATCGCTGTTTCCGTTTACATTGAATAAGTAACCACTTTTGGGAACCACTCAGTTCTGTCTGATAGATATATTGAACATTTCTTTTCTGTTAAGTGCCCTTTCTGTTCATCACTGAATGTAAAGTAATCCCTATCTTACTGACATCTTACTGGTTTAATGTGAGCGATCCTTTCCTGAAATTGAGATTTCAATAGTACAGTTCTCATTCTTTCCTTATAGGATGGAACGGAGGCTGCAATCTGCCAACGGAAAGAAAAAGAAAGTATAACTTGACGTAGATCAGGCGTCACGTATTTATAGATACTATTCAATCTCTTTATAGATACTACTCAATCTCTTTTTATTTAATGTCTTTGAAAGAAGTAAGAAAAAATTTTTACCTCAAGATAGAAGCGCTCAGCTGGCTCAAGTAAAGGCTCGTTCTCTCGCTCTTGTTTTCTTATCGCTTTTTCCTGGTAAGACAACAAAATGCAGTCATGTTCTAAAAGTGGTAATAGTTCAATTTAGGATTCTTTAGCACCTATATTTTCCCTCAATAATTTTAATTAGTGTTCAATTCGCAGTTAATTTCAGCAGAAAACTGAGTCTTAGAGCAATCCATCTCTGCAGGTCTTCTGAGAAAAGAGCGCAGAAATCATCCTCGTTCCCAGGCAAGAGTGAGAACAAGTTTGCGCAGAAATTCCATATGATGACGCGTCACTACTTAGATCTGGGTAGTGTTTGTTATAGGTTGAAGCAAATTTCCCACACGGCGCGACCAATCGGGAGCACTACCCAGCTCTGGGTAAGTGACATGTCATTAGTATGGAATTGCTGAGCTCATTTCGCGCAGAAATTAGTGGTGACGAAGTGAAATGCCAGCTGTTTTTTCAGACTAAACAACTTCAGAAGCCTGATTTGATTCTCTTTCGTTACTTTGTGGAATAAAGATATTTATAAATTCAGTGCCTAAATCAAAAATTCTTAACGTGATTTAATCAGTGTTCACTTTTTGTAAGGACCAAGAGCGAGCATGATTACTTTCGAAATAAATCGACTTATGAATTTACTGGGACAGCGAAACTAGTGGCTTTGGAATATTTTGTTGCCATAGTTACCTCTCGATCGTCAGGCGCAAATGCCAACAATTGTCTGAGCACGTCAGAGGTCAGATTAGAGGTCCCGGATATAAGACATTGAGCTACGTCTTCAGTTTTCAACTTATGATGTGACATCACGATAGCTAGAAACAACACACAGCAAAATATTAGAACTTCCTCGATCAATTAGTACTCAGACACGCTCTAAGGGAGGCAGAAACCTGTCACGAAAAACAGGCATATAAGACACAGAGCAATGCGGGACCGAATTTCAAACTCTGTAAGTGATTATTTTCTTCTAACATGATGATTTTACTCAAAATATTCTTTGAAAAATAAAATACCGTACTTCTTATTTCTATCAAGGTGATAGACGTATTTTTTCCCTATGTTTTGCATTTTGATACGCCAAGACATTTTGCAATCGTAGTCATCATACTTACAAATGTTAAAAATCTTTTTGTCGTTCATAGCACTTTCTCGTTTGACTTTTTTCAAAGATCCTGTCAGTAAACATAAATTGTAACCTGTTAATATTTTCATTACAAACAATTTTTCTGTTATAATTAATGATCAGGGCCCGGTTTTTCAGACGTTGGATAGCTCTATCCATGGGATAAATCTCTTTCCAGTGGATAAGTTTTGGGGAAACCAAGTCCAATATCCACTAGATAGAGATTCATCCTGTGGATAGTGTCATCCGCCTTTCGGGCAATAAGGACATTAAATTTTCTGAATTTTACGCTTTGATTGAAATCCCATTAAAAGTGGCATTTTATGAGGCTTTTTGGCACATTTGGGAACAAGAGAATCAGCTGCAAAAGGATTTTTTCGTTTTGATTTATGGGGTTGTTTGAAAGGACAGGCTAACCTCTTCACCAGGGCTTTTTCCATTTTTTTAAAGGAAAGCCTGGAGACGAGGTTGAGGATAAGCCGTTAGAGACCTTTAAGATCGAGGTTTTTGGGCATCTCCCGCGAACAGCAAACGTCAAGAAGTCACGTGACTGGTGCGTTGCCGTCACGTTTGGGGTTTGAGGTTCACGTTGGTACGGCTAGATAACGCTCCAGAGGTAAGTGATTTACCGCAAGGTTTTCAGGGGCACCCAACGGCAATTTTCGGGAAAATATCTGTTCGGAAGACGATTTGAGATCTAGAATTTTCGGAGCATTTGTTGTAAAATTTCTTGCTTACCTGCCTCTCCTAGGATTTTCGAACATCTACAAAATGGTATAATTACCCATTTTTAACGGATTTTGACCCTAAAAAAGGCCACCTAGAATTTTCGGGAGCCTTTCCCTGGCTGAAATTTTCGAGAAGGTAAGTTTTTATCCCTATAATCTTCGGATCACTAAACTTTCTGCTAGGAAATCCTAACAGATGAAAAGTTTTTAGAGGATAAAAATATGCTTATATCTACCGTTTGAATACTAAAATACGTTCAACAATGCTCTGTTAAGTGGTTTTGAACTATATCCTCGTTGGGTGCCCCTCGGTTTTTTGCGCTATAAAACGTCACAATCCCGTGTGTGAGAGAAAATACTCCTTTTTAGAACTCTTTCGCTAATTAATTATTGAACTATGTTTCATAGAAACGTAACTTTGAAGACGATTTCTCTGCTAAAATCGGAGTGAAAGAATGAATAAAACAAACATGGCAGCCACCAGCTACCACCCGCGAATCTTAATTCCTAAATATGGGCAGACGGATAACGTGAAACCGCTAACCACAAACCCGCGGTTTGCCGTTTGCCGTAAGACGGCCAAACCTCGATCTTAAGGTCCCGATTTTTATTCCGGCGCGCTGGCTATCATCCGAAATACAGGGGTTAACCAGTCATCCAAGCTTTAATTTGACGAAGGAGTTAAAACTACTTCACCCGTTTTGGAAACGAACGAAACTTATGATCAGCGATGAATTTTCCAGTTTGTGGTTGAGGTTTTTTTTCCGGACTGCAAGCTACAAGTTATCAAATGTCTTTTTTGAGGTATTCAACAAGAGAAGACAATTAATTTTGTCTACCTTGAGATGGCATAATTGAAAATTCTCTTCTTATATCTTCACAATCAAAAATGCCCTCCAAGGGCAAGTTCTTTCCAACCTAAAAACATTTCAAAAAATTAAAGCAGCTAACTAATCTCTTACAAATTATGTCATTATTACAAGACCTTACAAGGTAAGGAAGAAAAAATACTCTTTTAACCTACCTTTTTCCAAATTGTATCCTGATTAAGAAGATCTGGGCTCAGGGTTTCCCACGAAAGCTTCCTGCAGTCAATTTTGTGCCATTTGTGCTTCTTAATTGTATTTGAGGGAGGAGGGGGAGGGGAGAAAGGGGGGGGTGGGGGAGGTGGAGGAACAGGTGGCACGAGTGGAATATATGAGGGATGATTGCTGTTCATAAAATCTGTGAAAGAAATCAAAATAAAACAATCACAAAATTTTTGAAAAAAAAGTAGGCTCCTGATAATCATTATCTTTTTCCATATATTTGTTTTCTTTTAAATACTGTTTTAAAAGTAATTATTATTTAAAAGTGAAGCCTCATGGAACGAAAATGCCATTTTGTTACAGTAATCATTTCTTGTTGTTTCGTTCGTATTGTTATTAACGTTTTCTTAGCTTTAATGGAAGGGCAATTTGAAGGAGAGTCTGGGAATAAGGTACCTTGATGTCTTAGAGCAATCCATCTCTGCAGGTCTTCTGAGCACACAAAGGATACAATGAGCACAGCAAAACCTGCATTGATAAAATAGAAAAAGTCTAAACAGAGCTCTGCTTCCTACCAAAATGAGCACTTGCAAAAACGGAGAGAAAAAATTACCTGGAAAGACCTGGTTACAAGTCAGAATCGGAATTATGAAAGTTCGGGCTTCGGATTAAAATATGATCAACTCTAAAAAAGATTTGCTCTTGATTGCGGCTTTACAGCTAACTAAAAAGGGTTAAGTCTGACGTGATTATAATAAACACGACGATAATCTAGCTTAGAGAGCTGGTAGCTTGGGTGTCGGCAAATTGAATTATTGGGCGTTTTGCTCTACTTTGCGATAGGTAAAAATAACTCGTTAAAGTTTTATTAAAGAATATATTTTTCCTTGTGTTATATTTTATGGCTAGGTTCGCTGAAGAGCAAAGGCATTTAGAAATTAAAGAAGGAAACATTGCTTACCCGGAAAGATCCAAATGTTAACTGCAAAGGTAATATCCTTCTTAGTGAAAAAAGCAGCGGAAAACAGAAGAATCGCAAGTGTGAAAGGTAAAATTATTTTCCAGTTGCTGAAACATAGAAAAATCATTGATTATAAGATAAAAAGGAAAAAATAAACATTATCTTTGATATGTTGAACTTCTGTGTTACCGATCAGTTTAAGTTTAAAATTTTGATTTGTGGCGTAGTGTATCAGTCTATTGGCTAATGTCGCCCGTGCCCCTTCCCCATTTTTTCATGCTTTTTTTCCCTCTTTACTTTTTATCATTATTCTTTTAACTCAAATTGTCGAAGTCCAGTTTTAAGATAATTTGACAAAGTTCTCCGGTTGGTAAAGAAAAAATACAAAAGCCAAGAAACATACAAACCATTTCAAAACCTCAGAGGTGTTGTTCATAAAATTCCAGATATTTGGCCTCACATCTGGAGATAGAAAAATAACAGCAAATGAACCTTTCTATACTGCATGCTTTGATGTTGCCCAATTAGCGTTCATTGAAGAGGAAATCATGTGCAGGGTTGATCCTTTGACGTGTAAGGATCGGAAGAGAGGTTGGGGGGAGGCTAGAACCCGGCTTTTCCTGTGTTAAAATATTTTGCACAAAATAAGGCGTCAAATAGATAGCAAGTTACTAACTCTACAATTCAACACAAATATTTTGGCATGTTTCGGGATTCAAAATCGTCCCCATCGATATCTAAGGTTTTTACGGAAATTCACATTTATCAAATGGAGTACAAAAACTAACCATTCCAAGCTTGCCGTTTGATAATTATGTTACAATTTCATAATAGTTTGCTAATTTTGGTGCTGTTTACAACTTTTTTGCACGAGAGTGAGGAATACTCGTCTTTTTGTTTAAAAATGGATTGACCTCCTTATCCCTTATGACGTCATATTCGTCACTATGGCAAACGATCAAGGAACGGCAAAAACACCTCTCAGAACAAATGAACCATCGCGTTCTGAAAGAAAGAGTTTTTAGCTCAAAATCGTCTGGCAAAAATCCCAGAAAACCTCATGAGGATGGCATCTCTCCTCATCTCCCCGCGGCACTTTTGAAGCTGCCTTTGCAAATTTTAAGCCAGCAATGTCAAAGTTTAAACGAAACCCTTGAACATCAACAGCCTGTTAGCAAAAAGCTTGCTAGCAGTATATTGAACATCCCTTGGCCCTTCTTCATTGTCAACGAGTTGGTACCCTCCTGAAAGCCTTACTAAACTAAAGCAACAAACAGGCAAAAACTTATTAGGTTGCTACACATTAAAAACGATAATTTAAGAAGTCAGTAATTTGGGTGTTTATTGTTCTTTTCCATATCAATTTATTTAACTCAAGTATCTGTTTGAAAACTGCTTATAATATAGTAACTATATCCCTCCTAAGAACTTAAGAAAAAATCCAGTTTTCAATGAATCCGCCAAATGCTATCAATCCCTTTGGAGAATAACTGCTATCTTTAGAACAAAGTTCTCAGAAAACACTTGAGAAATAATTCCTCCAAATCTTCGTTGCTTTAGGCACTGCAATTAGCAGATTGACAGAAATTAAATGAAATTGGCATTAAGGGATTAAAGAAGTTTATTCAAATGAATGTTTAGAATTTTTCAGTTCACAACAACCTGAAGTGTAGTTTTTGGCAGCACGATGACTACCAGTTTTCCAGCATAGGACTTATACCGGCTTTTCCTTGCGAAAAACACCATCAGGCGAAAAAAAAAATTCCTGAGACGCTTATAACGTATACAAATGATACAATGGTACTACAACTATTAATTTGTTCAAGTGTTAATCCCGCTAATAAATTTTTGTGTTACAAATTTCGTATCATTGCTTTTGGCCATCGATGTTGAAGTCAACTTCTTTACTAGAGATCGATCGGCGTTGCAACATGTTGATCTAGTAGGGATATCAACATTGCTTTCCTACTACTAAACTTGAACCCAAGGCTTCGCGTTTGTTACTCTTGGTCAAAAATTAGCATCACCACCGTAAATTTTAACTAAACTGCGCTACCAAACTTGTGGTTAATGCGGGCACTGAGCAAAAGCTCTGTTATTTACAGCGTTTTTCCGCGTGAACATGTTGCTGCAAAAAAACGTAGATATTGTAAAGGTCGGGATCGAAATCAGCCACATAACCGATAGATATCGCACCTTAAGGCATAGCATCAGATTTCAGTTTGCTCTTCAGTAACCCTGTCCTCAGTGAATAGAGAGTAATATTCTTCCGTTATAACTTTTAAAGTCCCTACATACTTGAAAAGGAATTCAGCCGCGAATTACAATTACTTACCTTGTGTTGTTGATTTAATATCTTTCACAGAAAAAACCTCTTTTTCATTCATGCTAAATGATAACGTCTTCGCAACATTTCCCCTCTGCTTTCCAACTAAAACATCACATATTTCTTAAACAAGTTAAGATTTCTCGTAAAACCTTATTCAGCGAGTCAGAGATACCTAAGAGCTTCACATTATGCAATTATTTTTTGTTTCAACGACTTAGCAGAACAATTTGTTAAGCTTTTTTTAAAAAAATTATATTTGACAACATGCGGCCGCCGTATGACGTTTTGAACCTTTATCACGTCATTCGACTGAACTGATCGAGCTTCCTTAAACGTCCGCGCGCGCGCGCGCGCGCGCGCGCACGCTCGCTTCTTTTGCTTCTTATATTGCTTATTCCCTTGGTCTGGCTAGGTCTCATTATTGCGCGCGGCCGATGCGTTTCGGGTTAAAGGCATCAACCGAGAAGGCCTGGAAAGACACAGGGAAAAGCTTCAAAAACTCAAATTCACGCAAAAAGTCAGAAGCGCCTGGATACGCAACGACGCGAGCCCTTATAAGTTCTACTCCCCATGCATCTCCTACCAGTCCCTGGGTTCCAGAAGTTTTTTTTCTCTCGCGTGCGCCGACGTGCGCCGAGAGATGTGCGCCGAGTGTACCACGGCCACGAAATTTTTCGCGCCCGCATTTTTAGGACCGGGTCAATACAAAGACTTATTGCAAAACCGGAAACCGCGCATGCTCTGTATTCAGTGTAGGCATAACATGGGTAGGCATCTCCGTGAGTAGAACTTGGTCAGGATTTTTTGTCAAACACCGAAAAACAACTTAGGATTTTGCTCAGTGCGAACCTTGACACAAGTAAACTTTTTCGCAGGTTTCTGTTGGACACGCACAATAAAAGACTGAGTATATAGAATCATAAAATTCGTAAATGAATCGACAGTCTATAGTTGAGAATAATCAACTTTAATACGCAACAGGACGGGAAAGGAAAGCCGACGGCAAACCTTGTGTGACAAGCGTGACAATAACTTTGTTTAAAAAAACTTTCCACCAAACTTCACCTTGCTTTAAACAGATTTTTCGTAAAAGACCAGAAAACACTAATGTTAAGTGAAGATCACGACAAAACTACCAAGTGATAGCCCTGTCACGTGTGTCACACACAAGCGTTTTGTCGTCCTCACTGATTATGCTGGTCCCATGTCCCATGGTCCCATAGGCAACGTCGTTCCCAGGGTTCTCTCCTGCCCTTCCCTGGGAACAAGGTTCCAGAACAGGTGCTATTTTTTCGCGTTTTCATGGTTTTTATCTTTTCAGGGGAGCACTGGACTCTCGAGACGGGAGAAGGCGCTGCCGAAAAGAAAACTCTTTTTGAAGGAGAGGATTACTGTTGATCTGGTTTTGCTTTCATAAACAAAGCAACATAGAGACATAGAATGACCAGAATCATCAAGATTATCCCTTCTGGTTTTTTATTTGATTTCAATTAAGTATCATTTTAGGAACCTCACGAGCAAAACCGAACACGAGTTTTGTTTTCAGAAGAGTCTGCTTGTCATTGAAATGTAAACAATTACCTGTAAAACCCTTTAAATTAAAAGCAGATTGATTTCAGTTTTTGTAAGGTGATATATATGTTATTATTGTCAACAAGCTAGACTATTTCGACACGTACATTTCCCATAATCGGCTTTAATTTTTCTTTAATCCAGTGTACCACAGTTCTATTCGACGTACTGTTTTTCTAAATACCCTCTGATCTCTTTATAAGATTGATTGACATTTTTGAAAAACCTCCACTCTCACTTAGATGATTTTCCTCGTAGCAAACAAAAAGCCACTCTCGTGTTTGCCTTCTAAACAGGTGCACGCTTTGAATTGATAAATGTTTTGACGAATGTCGTGTGAGCGTGTTTTTGTGTCTGAGTTATTTCAGGCGGAAATAACAACAAACTTAGAACTAAAGGTTACATGTGAAAGTTTAGTTCGTCGCGTCTTTGCTTGTTATGGTCGGCAGGTCCGGTTCGCCTTCCTAGTAACCGTAGCTAAGGTTGCATTTTATAATATATGTGGATTTTCTTTCGAAAAGAAAACTGTAACAGCATTCTGATTTCCCCTCACAGACAATTAAACGGTATGTCTTTAAACTGACAGTGCGTCTCTAAGAATCTCCTTATAAATAACCTCTCTGGCGACAAGTTAAATTGATTATATTATTGACTGAAAGAAACAAATAAACTGAATAATAACTGACTTTAAATGAACAAATAATAAAGCAGTAAACTGAAAAACGGTAAAAAACGGTTCATCCGCAGCATTTTTATAATTTATGTACAAGCCATCCCTATAAAAGGTAGTTAAAGAGTAAAAGAGATTTTATAAGAATTAAAAAATTAAATTCCTGAACATAAACTGAAAAAAGAAAATGTTTAACTTCTGCAGTGACAAAATATCCAGCAGAACTTAAAAGTAACCTACCCATGAGACAGATACCAAACCACAGGATACCGTTTGACAAACACATTTGCTTCATTTTAAAGGAAAAAAAAGGAAAAAGAAAAATGCTATGGTGTATGATGTTACTCGAGGTCAAGAACCGCAATCAAAGTTTGTTTGTTTTTGTCCACTCTGAATGCTTCGGGTATGCCACGTTTGTTGAGAAAAATACCCAGTGTTCTCTTTGGGTAGATATTAGTGATAAAGCTAGGATCAAATTACGGTTTGCGTTTGAAGTGTTTTGCAGCGTAGGAGCTTCGTGGATTTCCCGCCGTCGAAGAAATTTTCCTAATGTTGACAAATTCAGCGCTCACCATTTTAAAAATATGCAAATTTCTTCGGAAGGTTATGAAATCGTCATGCAATTTGCATGAATAATAATAATGGGACACTGCGGAGCGGACAACAGCGTAATTGAGAGAAGCGAATTGTTTTAAAGTGATCGAACAGCGAAATAACTAAACAACGGCAGTTATTTCTCAGCTGAGTGTCTGTGGATGACGTAGCTCGTTTGTTCTAACAAAGGATAAAGTCGTCAACTGGCCGGAAAATTGTCGTCAAGACCAGTTTCTGAATCCTTTCGTTTCTAACAGAGGGCGCGAGGTTTCGGTTGCTTGGTTTCAGAATTTGGCGTCGAGTGCTTGTCACTCAATACGTGCAGTGTTCGAGCCACCACTACTGCATTGAGCCTGCCATTGAGATACTTCTTGTAAATGCCATCAGTTTGGCGTGGATTTCGATAACAAGATTCCAGGCTTACAAATTCAACTCTGAAACGAGGAAAACAAAAACATTTGTGAGGAAGACAAAATTAAGGTAAAAAGTTGCTAATGGACACCTGCATTTGATGTTGTGGACCTAATTAACGGGATGATTTAACCCAAGAACTTGTCAAATTTGCGACTATTTGAATTAAATTCTCGACTTTCTGATTGTCAAGAGCCTGTAGAATGAACAAACTTGTTCAGGTGTTTTAGATCTTAGCTGAAGTTGTTTAATCGACATGAGGACAAACGAAAATTGGCCTGAAGCCTTCGGTTTCACTGTCGGTGGAAAAGCTCCTGTTGTCATATTGTCTGTAGAAGAAAATTCCGTTGCTCAACGAGCAGGTCTTCAACCAGGTGATCAGATACTTGAAGTAAATGGTGAAAATGTCCAAGGATTAAGTAAAGAGGAAATCATTCTACTGGCTAAAAGATCGCGAACGGTTCCACCGGCGTTGGCAGTGATTTCCCGAATCAGAACGTTTGATCTTCGTCGGCGAAGAGGTCGGTTTGGTTTTGCAGTTCGCGGCAAAGGTCCTGTGTTCATTGCAGAAATTGAACCAAGTAGTCCTGCACAAAATGTCGGTGTTCGTAGTGGAGATCTCGTTCTTCGTATAAACGGTGTTAATGTGAGACACAAGAACGAGCATGAAGTAGGGCAAATGATAGATTCCTGTGGTCCTACGATTTCTTTGGTTCTTATTGCTGGCGCTGCAGATATGGGAATAACTGACAAGCGAGGCACAAAGAGTTCTTCTTCAAGGTACAAACGTGCAAGAGACTTCTTCGTGCAGGTAAGTTAGAAAAATGAACGATATACATTGTAGCTTTTATTAATTGTTATTTATCGAAGTTCTTGTCTCTGTTGATATAAACATAACGTTTACATTGCTACCATGGCGTGTGTATTGATAAACTGTTGTATAATTTCTGCTAAAGCGATTAACTTGTACTTCAAACCTTGTTGGGCCATTTTTGTTGCTTACCTAAGTAGGTTCTCTATTATCACTGTTATCGTGGAAATATTATTGCGAGATTCTGTTTCGTGGTTAACATCGTTATTTTGATACGTATATTTGTCATGTACATTAAATATTTTTAATTTGTGGCAACAAAATTATCTTTTATTCTCATGCAGTAAGCTTTTTTGTAAGAATTATCGAAATATCTGATGCAATTCAATTTTGAAAAGAGTACAGCTGGTTGATGTTGAGTTTCCGTTGTGCCAGTTTGTACGTTACTTTGGTGACTGAGTCGAAGTTATAGTAATTTTGATAATTAATTTTCTTTTGGGAAAATAACATTGCTCCCAGTTATATATTAGCCCTGATATTGATAACATGAACTTAAGCTTTTATAGAGTAACTAATTATCTATTTATCGTTTAATTTTTTTTAATATCATAAATGTTTGTGTCAAGATGAATTATTACCTAGCTGGTCAAGAAACCAAGAAAAAGATGCTCATAAAAGCCCTCAACCAGTTTGCACGTGACAGGTCTGTTGAGGAACTGGCACAGAGCCTTAAAGGAATTCTTAAAATGCCTGTGGAAAGGAAGCTTTTAAAAGAAATAAGGTAAAGTTTCAAGCTGAGCTTCACTGGGCTATTCTCATTGCTTGAGATTTTGTTGCTCTCCTTGATCCCAAGCAACTCTTAAAAATCATGTACTGTACATTTTATTATTTGAAAGGATTCAGTTCTCTCTTGCTCTCTCATCTATGAAAACTGTATTTTATAATGGACACCCACTGTGTCTTTTTGGGGTCCTACTGATGAACAGTTACTGCATTTAGTTACTGTGTACTTGCAGCCCTGGGCAATAATTATGGGTGCTAGCCATTAAACCAAAATTCAGACAGGTCCAACTTGGAAAAGTAGTCCACCTGAAAAGGTTGACTAGTTTTTTCGCAACTTTTCCAGTTGGACCGAACCCATCCATTGAGTTTTGGACTGAAATTTCTTGAAATTTTGGTTGAATGGATCGTGCCCTATGTCTTAAGACTGTCCTCTTAAATTTTTAGATGTCATGTGACATCAAAGTAACCAATGAGAGCATGAAATGCTGGGAAAAAAATTCCAGCTATATAACAAAAAAAATCATAATATATCAAAGTTTTTTTAGAGATGTTTCTTGTACTTTACCCAGTAAGCCCTGTACAATACCAATTCCTTTGACTTAATGGAAGTTTATGACAAAATATGGTTTGTTTCTTGTGTATCCTTTGTAGGAGTTTTATTCCCAAGAAGGATCAGCCTTTATTTGACATTCTTGTTGGAAACAATGGGGAAATCATGCAGGCCAGAAGAGAGCAAGCTGATGATGAATTGTTACCAGATTTAGCAAGTGCCTCAGACCTAGAATTTTCTACATACAATAGCCATCATCCTGCCCCAATTGGCAGGTTTGGGTACGTACAGTGTAATTGCTGCCTGCAGCCTTGACCCCTAAGAGTTAGGGCTATGAAAATTTCAAATTTTTCTTTTGGAGCACACCCCCCAGATAGGGCTTTCCACAAGTTGCTTGAGATTTCCCAAAAACGTTCCCGTAATTTCTCAGAAAGTTGCTCAAAACTTGCTCTTTCTAATGAAAGTTGCTCAAAGTTGCTAGAAAAAGTAAGGTCTCTGAGTACTTTTGCACAATTTTTTGGCAAAACCAGCATAACTTTGTCCTCACTTAAAACCCAAAAATGTTTGAGTAAAGACTATGCATCTACATTAAGATTAATCTTGTAAAAATTCTAGTATGAGCCAATGAAATTCTTCACATGATCTTCACCTGAGGCAATTGAGTTACTCGAGTGTGAATCTTCGTCCACCATTTTGAATTTTCTTTAAAAACCATCTGACCCAGCAGTCCAGCTGTATACATCTTGCGCCCATGATCTGCCCCTAGAGGGGGCTGGTTCCTTTTTCACAGGAAATCATAAATTGTCTACTAAAACACATTGTGAAATTTGGAGGAAAGGCCAATAATTAAGTACTAAAAGCTCCTCTGTTATCTCACACTAGAGAAATTACTCAGAATAGTACAAAAAGTTTCTCGAAATACAAGAAGTTCAGTGTCAAAAAGTTGCCGAGCAACTTGTGGAAAGGCCCACACCCAGACTCTCCTAAAAGAAGGGACCTACCCACCCCTTGTTGTTACCATTGGTTCATAACGAGCCGCACCGTCTTAGCAACCAAAAAAATTTTGTTTATCAAGCTGAGATAGGGGACTAAAAGTCCCCTATCTCAGCTGGATACTCAGAAGCTTGTAACATTCATTATTCCATTATCTCTGATCATATTTCGCATCTAATACGATAGAGGCGTCAATTTTCGCGCCATCATGTCATCATTCTCGGGCGAGAAATTTAATTAAAGCGCGGCATTCAACAAATGTACGGCTCAAGTTTCGGCTAAAATTATTCAGTGCCGTCAAAGAAAAAAACATTTTATTAAGGTCTGCGTACTAAGTCGATCACATTGCTAACACAGACAAAAACGCTTAAATATCTCCTACAAAATGAACGGCTGAGTTTGTTTTTTCTACGGGTCAAACTGCTACTATATATCCCAGAAGCGCTCAGGCATAATAATATGCCAGGACTTCTACCTGGATGAACCAGAAAGGATATAGAACAACTACCTATTTTTTTTCTTTTTACGGCTACGGGTCGAAATGCTAAACGTGTTATATATCCTAGAAGCGCTCAGGCATAATAATATGCCAGGACTTCTACCTGGATGAACCAGAAAGGATATAGAACAACTACCTATTTTTTTTCTTTTTACGACTACGGGTCGAAATGCTAAACGTGTTATATATCCTAGAAGCGCTCAGGCATAATAATATGCCAGGACTTCTACCTGGATGAACCAGAAAGGATATAGAACAACTGCCTTTTTTTTTTTTACGTTTACGGGTTGAAATGCTAAACGTGTTATATATCCTAGAAGCGCTCAGGCATAATAATAACATGCCAGGACCTCTACCTGGATGAACCAGAAAGGATATAGAACAACTGCCTAAATTTTTTTTTACGGCTATGGGTCGAAATGCTAAACGTGTTTTTTATCCTAGAAGCGCTCAGGCATAATGATATCATGCCAGGACTTCTACCTGGATGAACCAGAAAGGATATAGAACAACTACCTAATTGTTTTTTACGGCTACGGGTTGAAATGCTAAACGTGTTATATATCCTAGAAGCGCTCAGGCATAATGATATCATGCCAGGACTTCTACCTGGATGAACCAGAAAGGATATAAAACAACTGCCTAAATTTTTTTTACGGCTACGGGTTGAAATGCTAAACGTGTTATATATCCTAGAAGCATTCAGGCATAATGATATCATGCCAGGACTTCTACCTGGATGAACCAGAAAGGATATAGAACAACTGCCTAAATTTTTTTTTAAAGCTACGGGTCGAAATGCTAAACGTGTTATATATCCTAGAAGCGCTCAGGCATAATGATATCATGCCAGGACTTCTACCTGGATGAACCAGAAAGGATATAGAACAACTGCCTAAATTTTTTTTTTTTTGCTACGGGTCGAAAATGCTAAACGTGTTATATATCCTAGAAGCGCTCAGGCATAATGATATCATGCCAGGACTTCTACCTGGATGAACCAGAAAGGATATAGAACAACTGCCTAAATTTTTTTTTACGGCTACGGGTTGAAATGCTAAACGTGTTATATATCCTAGAAGCGCTCAGGCATAATGATATCATGCCAGGACTTCTACCTGGATGAACCAGAAAGGATATAGAACAACTGCCTAAATTTTTTTTTAAAGCTACGGGTCGAAATGCTAAACGTGTTATATATCCTAGAAGCGCTCAGGCATAATGATATCATGCCAGGACTTCTACCTGGGTGAACCAGAAAGGATATAGAACAACTACCTAATTGTTTTTTACGGCTACGGGTTGAAATGCTAAACGTGTTATATATCCTTGAAGCGCTCAAGCATAATAATATCCCAGGACTTCTACCTGGATGAACCAGAAAGGATATAGAACAACTGTCTTTTTTTTCTACTCGTCGAAGTTCTAAACGTGTTATTCTTAGAAGCGCACAGGCTTAATAATATGCCAGGTTTCCAGCGACTGATTTTAGCTGATTTTGCGGTGCGCAAGAATGGATAATTTACCCGACTTGTAAACAGATATTTCCTTCAGCCAATTGTGTCTCATGCAGGAGAATGTCATGTCTGCGTTGTTTTGTTTCTACTGAAGTTTTATCAAAGAAAGCTTAAGCGAAAATAGGGAGATCGCAATTTATACTCTTACGAACTATAAATTAGGGCTGACCTGGAAGACGTGTTGAATTGTGCCGCCATCCTTCAAAATATAACCTGGCTGCGTTTAGGGAGACAATTTCCTCTTCCATCCAGATGTACTTGGTATATGTGTTTGCGCGAATCTTCAGACTAAGAATTGGGTATACACTGATTTGAATGGCTTGGCGATACTAAGTGCTTAAGTCTACTTACCGATTACAACATTTTTTGGGAGTATTGAGAAGCGCGCCAAACGAAGTTGTCACAGCGTTCTCGAGCGAACACGGCGCGACCTGGATTGATAAAAATTACCATTACATGCAGGTATCATGCCAGTGATATCTCCTTTCGTCGCATGGTGAATAGTTTGTGAGCACATCCTCGACTCTCGAAACATTTGTCTTGCGCCGCTATAGAAGTTGCTTCTCCCGCGAACCATAGGTAGATTTCCCGCTTAACATAATGTTTGATAATTTATGCAAAAGTTGACCTCGTGGAAGTCAGCAGTGCATTAATCGACTCAAAAATAACCCGACTTCCTACAGGGTTTTGAACACAGTTTTAATTAAAGTACTTTACGAGCGCTGCGGTAGTTGGCCGCAAAAGTGTTACGCTGATGGATACTCAACGGGATGATTACGTCACTTCATAGCAACCAGACGGTACGAATTTTTTAACTTCCGGAGCGCTGAGGCTCGTAGTGCTCTATTCAAAACCACTGGCTACTTCAATTTTTAATGAAACCCTTCCAGTTATATTGAAACTGAGAAATCTGATTATAAAATTTGTTGCTTCTGTCAGCACTTGGTCACACGGAACAAGCAGTAATTTGGCATGGCAGAAAGCAAAAGACAATGCAGCTGGTCCCCCAAGGTATCATCTGTATATAAATGTTTTATTATTATTTGTTTCTATCAGTGTGTAATGTAACTAGTTGATGTACTGTACATGTACACATGTTGTCTGTAACAACTGGCCAGTCATTCATTTACTAAACTATGGATCTTGCCGGGGATTACATGTAACTAAGGTGGTGTAGTTCCTGCAAGGTTTGTGAGGTTTTGGAAGAAAAGTATGTTTAGTATCTTACATTAAAGGGTACAATTAACACTCTCCTCACACTTTTCATTGTAGGACTGTTCAAGTTCTAAGAGATGGAGTTGGTGCAGGGTTTGGGTTTACTCTTAGTGGAAGCTCTCCCGTGTTTATTAAGACTGTCGATAAAGGTATGGTGCAATATTTTATTGGGTTTGTTTCATTATTTAATACATATATGACCATGAATCAAACAGTGCCAATAAGTTGAGGCATTTAAAAAACATTTTTGTAATCACATCAAAGGGTTTTGTCCACAAACTTGTCTTGTGCACTGTGGAGGCGTGTGTGTGGCCGAGTGGTTAACACCGTGAACTCCGGATCTGAAGGTCTGGGGTTCAAGCCTGTCGCGTTGTTTCCTGAGACAAGGAATTTACTCCACTTTGTCTCTCTTCACCTAGGTGTGTAAATGGGTACCGGCAACATACTTCTGGGGGAAAACCCTGCAATGGACTAGCATCCTGTCCAGGGGGGAGAAGCAATACTCCTAGGTGCTTCATGCTAATTCAACCTTTATTCAAAAATTTATAGTCCTGCAACGGGGTTACCATCACGCAAGACGCCTAAAGAAAATGAATAAAATTAAAAGTAATGATGTTAAAAAAAAAAAAAAATTCTATAAAAGATAAAATAGATAAAAAAAAATAATAATAATTAAAATAATTAATTCACAGCATCAATCATTATGCAATATTAAAATTCATCATTGACTAAAATACCCAAATAAGACTTTTTTGAAACGATCTGCGGACTTGATGTTAACAATTTCGCTTGGCAACGCATTCCAGTCCTTGACAGTTCTACAAAAATAACTATTCTTATAAGTCTCAGTATTTGGGAGCAGTTCAATAAACTTGTTTTGGCTAGAGTTCCTTAAATGTCTTCTGCACTTCGTAACATAGTCTGGGAAGGCCAGGCCGCCATCACTATGAATTGCTTTGTGGAACAAGGTTAACCGCAAGATTGTTCTACGTTCCTTCAGGGGTATCCAGTTTAATTCGTTCAAGAGGTTTGTAACTGTTCCTGGTTCCCGCGTGTAACAGTTTTTAACGAAGCGTGCGGCTCTTCTTTGAACTCCCTCTATTTGTTTGACGTGTTTTTTTAAGTGTGGGTCCCAAACTGAGCTTGCGTATTCCACGTGAGGTAATGAAACCAGGATAAGCTCCAGCCGTTTGGGCCTTTGGCTCGTGTGCACCGTACCTTTACCTACCTTTTTAACTTGTCTTGTGTACTTAGCTACTCTGTGGCATTTCTCTGTAGTGAAATAATTCAATTCAGCCGCCCTTGAATGAAAGCTTCTTTTTGACCTGTATTACTTCATACATTGTTCGTAAAGCATGCCATGCATTCTTTTTGTTTTATTTAAGGTGGAGCAGCCTTTCATGCTGGACTGAAAGCTGGAGACCACATTCTGGAAATAAATGGATTGAATGTCAGGTAATAAATCAACTGTAAGGTTTGATGCATAAATATAAATTTATCTACTGCTCTTAATGCCTCATGAAAGTAAAACCTCAGAAGAACGGATATTTTTTCCAGCAATTCTGCGCAAAGCAACGACAATGTGTACAGAAGTGAGACCAGAAGCTGGGGTTATATGCTTCTGGTGAGACACATACTTGTACATGCACATGTTTCTGTAAAATTTTACATGTGGCGTACTTCTCTTGTTTTGGGTGTAAATCTGCCTTACAGTGTTCACTGAATATGTATTGCATGCATTATACATGTGTGTATGTGCTGCAATCTCCTGGGCCTGGAATTGAACCCGTCCCTACGTATACTGCTCCTTTAACAGCCTAAGGTGTTAAGTGTTATGACAAACCCATTTGGATGTTGCCTGGTAGCAAATAAATGGAGTTTTATTAGTTTTGCTGTATATTTTACAGGTCAAAATTATTTTCAGGTTCAAATTTTGTCAAATTTCTTTTGTCTCCTAGCTTTAATTATTCATGAATTAGGGCTATAAGGAGGCAAAGGAAATTGAGAATTTGAACCTGAATTTAATTTTTGACCTGTAACATATACATGTATGAATTGAGCATTTAATCACCTTAAATGTATCTGATCTCTCAATAGGGGCAAGCCACACAATCATGTAGTACGGCTTTTAAAAGGAAGTGGTTCTCGTCCAACTCTCTTAATTCAGTGGCGACCCACAAGTGCTTTGAAACACCAGTCATCATTATCATCAATTCCATCATCAAGCAGGTCATCACAGCTGTCTGTAACATTTGAAAATGAAAGACCAGCAACTGTCTCAAGGTGTTCTTCCAGGGCATCAAAGGCTTTCTCTATCAGGAGTGATCTGTTCATGAATGGAACAGGTTACAGTAAGGATGATCTTCGTATACTGTCCAGACAGTTCAAAATTCAGGTGAGGTGATGTTTGGGCTTGATGGCATGGTGCAATCTAGTTGATTTTTTCGTTAGGAATGTCTTAATTCACGGGATTTTTGGTACACTGTACCGAATGTACATACACTTATGGAATGAGAGTCAATTCAGAGGCTGAACTTGTGGGGAATCATTTTTGTGTGATCAGCAGGATAAATTTTAGTTAATGCAATTCTAGTCAAGTGCTCCTATTTTCTGCCTCAGGTAAGAACCCTTTTAATAACATGTACAAGAAATATGTTCACTGTACACTTATAAGAGTTATCCACTATGCTTCAATTAAGGTCTCGGTAAATGAAAATTTTAGTACATTGCTCGATTTTGTTTTTTTGGGATTTTTGGCATGAGTGGGTCCTAAATTTTATTTTGGCAGAAAAAGAAAATCAGAAAGTGCTTTTTAACCCTTCTAAAATGAGCCTCTTCTGAGCTAACCAGCCAAGCGTGGACCTCGCGCTAAATCTTTAGAGCTGATTTTCTCTCACTCTATTTTAGACACAAAAATCAAAATTCTCCGACCTCCAGTCGGGACAGGTTTTAAGCTATCGCTTTGAAACTTTCAAATATGATGGATAATGATATAGACTCAAAAAGGGTGTGAGGAATTTTCCGATTTCCCTTTGTAACTCATTTTATGCCAGTTTCTTTGCGTAAATCGCGCTCGAGATTCGACTTTTTAGTTTGAAATGCAATAATTCCGCTAATACGAGACATATGCAAATTTCCTCACACCCTTTTTTAGGTCTTTTATCTGTCAATCAGATGCAAAAAAAAGGAAGTGAATATTTAACAACGCGAAAGGGCTGGAGCTTCAGCAGTAAACTCGATACCTCTGAGTTCGAGAACAAAAAACTTAAGCACCTTTTGAAATTCGATAAAATAAAATTTTTTAGAAGGTAATTTAGTCTTTTAGCTTTAAGTTGATATATAACTTGCCTTTGTAGCGAAAATACTCGCGCGACTAGAATTTTTTTCTGTGGGCACCTCGTTTTCCTTTACCGAGACCTTAAGTTTAGAGTTCTTTCGTGACTTACACATGCTTCAAAATGGATGAAATAAAAATGTGTGTACTTAAAAATTTTGATATTGTTTCAGATGAGTCAACTTCTTACACGTGGAGAGCAGCTTTTCATTAAACAAACCCTTGATCAGTATAGTAAAGACAGGCAAGTTTGTTTTCTTAGTGTAGTATTGTTAACACAATAATATTCATAATAATCTCTCTCTTCTCTGGGAACAAATGAAACAAAATTAATCTCGAACGTAAACATAACAACTAGGTAAAAATCCCATCTGGTATTAAAGAGTTTACCAGGCCAGTGGGCTATTAACATGTGTGGCTCAGAGGGGTTGCACTTGGAGAGAGTGAGGTTTGAACCTCAAGGGAGAACGCATTAAACTTACTCATAGTAAGAGTCCAGCTATGAGAAACGTGTATGAGAGACAATATTTTCCGTCAAAATTTTGTATTTTATAAGGCGCGTTTCATTACTTGTAGATGTGATACTTCTTTTGTCATGTGGTATTTTTTGCAGAGGTGTCTGTCCTTTTTTGTTGTTGTGTATGTTAGTGAGTTAATTACAGATTCTTGGTTATTTAAATTTGTCTTTGGTTTGTCTGTCTTAAAGAATTTTATGAAAATGTGGAAAGGGAATTTTTATTGCTAAATCTTTGTCTGACAATTTTTAGAAATGTCCAGAGATTAATTAATGCTTTGGAACCTGTTTTGGACGATGGAGCAAAGCTCCAAATGTTGCACTACTTGAGTGAACTTCTTCCAGCGGAAGAACAACAAGCATTTGACAGAGCAGCAGCAAGAATGATATCAAGGAAGATGAACGGTGAGGACAATATTCCAGAAAAATTGTAGTGCCAAGTTTATGGCTGAGAAATGTACAAAAAAGCCTAATGCACGTGCCTAATGCAAATTGGTTGTTTTTCCAATCTAACCATACTCTGCTTTTTTGCTGTTGCTTTGTAATAATAGTAATGGTGGTCTTAAAGACATTTGTATTGACCACAATTATGACTCTCTTTGTGGAGAGTATTAGTTGATCGCTTTCCTGCTGTGATAACTTAATTGTAGTTCCAGGCATTCCATTTTTGTCCCTAGCAAATTACCCCTTTTTCTTCTTTAAAACTGTCTGCCACAGAAAAATTCAATTGGGACACAGTGGTGTAGTGTGGGGCAAGTTAAACAAAGAAGTCTATAGTGAGTTTTTCTAGACGTACATGACTGGTCTACTCCGGCATGAATGTGAAAATTGTTGTCGTTATTTCTCTCCCTCTCTTTTTTAATCATCACAATCATCATAATCATCATCATCAGCTGCATCATCATCATTCCGGTGTGGCATCTTGTTCACAAGATCCTCCCCTTTTTAATATTAGCCACAGGTAGTAGCACTAAATCATGCACTGGTGCGGCATCCAACCTTCCATTGCAGAGGGAGTGGTAACGTACGTGACTCTTTAATACACATAAATTGCTCCAAAACTTCAACAAGTTTTAAATACTTTCATTTCAGCTGGTGTTGTTCCCAGTTTGGATACAAACAATGATGAAGTAGTTGATGTTCTTTACAGAGTACAGGGCATGCGACTTTCTGATGCACCCAGACAACGCATAACAACTCCAGGAGGAGGTAAATACAACCAGATCCAAATCTTTTCGAATACTCATGAATACAGCTGTTTCATTGCACTTTCACTTGTGATCTTTCCAGCTTGCCATAAATTAAGAAGAATAATTAATCAGGCAAATAACATTTATTTTTGCTACACGAAAATACAAAAAAGAGGAGGAACTGTACAAAGGAAAAATTGCAATAGCATCAAGGAAAATATTAGTTGAGAAACTATTCACTGACTACCCTTCCTTACAAAGGGCAGATTGCATACAGTGTACTATAGTGCTCTTCTGTGTACTACACAACGCTATTTGTTGAGGTTTTGTTGCTTTTACTTATTATTATAATTTGTTCTTTCAACTTTTCTTCACCTGTATGTAAATCTGATATGCATTTTTTTAGTCTTGTTGCTGTGTAACAAAGATTTGTGTGACCTCTATCCAAGCCGCTGGTCCCAGCTGATTCAGTGGAAAATTACCTTTTCCTTAGCTTGAAGTTGTTTCAAATGCAAACAAATGTTCGATTAATTGACATTTTTTTTTTCAGTCACATCTGATGAACCCCGTGGTAACTGGCCTGGTGCTGGAGTGGTCAGAGGACGAACTAGTCCAGGAAGTGGTTATGGTAAGCAACTGCCGGATGCTTTCTTGTCATCTTAAGAGTGAATAGGGCCATTTATACGAGGAAAAATAAGACACGTCTTACATAAGACACGTCTTAAATAAGACGCGAACTGTACCATTTATACGAGCATGTCTTATCTAATAAGACGCGTCTTAGCTAAGCCGCGTCTTATTTTAGGCGAAATGTGCCGTTTATACGGAAAGTTCGCGTCTTATGTAAGACGCGTCTTATTTTTCCTCGTATAAATGGCCCTAATGTCTGTAAATATCGGGCAACCGACGGCCACGGTCAGAAATTAATTTTCGCTCATATCTTGTCGATAGATAGGTGTTAGTAAGCAACTAAACGTGGTGTAGTTTGTTTTTTAAAAGGCCGCTTGGATTTGGAGAAAAACGACAAAATCAATTTTCGTGGTCGGCGACTTGAAAACAACCAAAATTTGAGGCAAAATGAGGCCGTCTCAAAACTTCGCTCGCACGCACATAGGAAGAAAGCGTGGTAAAATATTCCCGATAAATCAATTTGTAAACGGTTTTAGCCCTAGTATGGCGGTTAATTCTTATCTTAACGATAATGTGGAAGGTAAACAATTTTATTTTAGTTTTGGTTCTTTTTCAACTGAACGAAGTGTAAATTTAGGCTTAAAGTCGCGGTTTAATTTTTAGGCATGTGCTACACCTTGGTTTTTCCTGAAACTCAAGCTATAAGTTAGTGAAACATTGTGCTAAAACATATGTAAGAGCTGGCTTGGGTAATTTAATTTGCGCTTCAGACGAACCTTTGCATTATTCCGTAACGCCTTGCTGTAGCCGAAACGGATTATTGTCGTTTCCTGAGAAGAAATCTGATGTACTTCTATAGTACCATAACTAATTTGCTAACATGCAATTGGAATTAACTTACCTTTGTAGTATGGAGCACTTTTTTTACTTTTTCTACTCTCGCATTTTGTAATTTGACCTCGAACGAAAGGTCGTTTGAGACGGACCAGGTTTAATATTAAAATGTTACTCAAGCCGAATGAGCATCATGATCTAAATTTTTAAGGTGGTTGAACAAAATATATCACAAGAAAAGTACGTTTTTAAGACATTTTTGGCGATTTGAAAGATGTTCTTACCATTTAATAGAATCCGTTACAACATACAGCGAGTCACAATGTGAGAAGACAAGGAGTGGTGTTACGTGACAACGGACACCATCCTTCGAATTGAGGAAGAATGACCAGAAAACAAAATTGTTCATACATTTTTTTGATGTTTTCAAAGTTATTTGTTCAATTATACAACAACTGAAAGGTTGCATAGTCTGACTGCCAACAATACTTGGTCTAACAGTGTAAAGTGGTGGTCAGTTTTTGACACCAACGTGATAAAAGTATTGACTAAGGGCTTTGGAAAACATCAAAATCATACACCCTGCCATTAGACACAAACACTGAGTAGGTTTTGAACTTTGGACAACCTCAATAAATGATCTCGGAAGCTTTTTTTTGTTTTGAGTGAAGAATCACAATAAAAAAATGATGCTATTTCATATATATATTTTGGGGAAGGGTGGCTCTGAATCTTACTTTGCTACTACCTATTAAGACTTAGACGACGAGTAGTCCCCATTTTCGGCAGGGATAGTAGAGCGAGGGAAACGCGAGCGCGCGTGAAAATCACCCCACGCGAGAAAAGGCGACACGCGGCGGGGAGAGAGAAAAAATTTTCTCTCTTCCCGCCTCTTTTGCAGAGCCCAGCTATCATGACTTGTCGAGCACAACCAACCGACGTTCTTGAAAAGTCTCATATTTCAAGCTAAGTTTATTCAACTTCAGAAGGTTCGTGTGAAGTACAAATTTAATTTCCCAGGCCAATTCTTACATATGTTTCAGCACAATGTTTAAATAACTTGTGCCTTGAGTTTCAGGTAAAACCAAGGTGTAGCACATGCCTAAAATATGAAATAAAAACGCAACTTTCAATAATCTAAATTCAAATTTCGTGTAGTTGAAAAAGAATCCAAACTAAAATAGCATTGTTTATCTTCCAGATTACCGTTAAGATAAGAACTCATCACTAAACCAGCAGTGGAACCCTTTTTAAATTGATTTATCGGGGAATATTTTACCCCGCTTTCTTCCTGTCTGCTTGCGAGCAAAGTTTTGAGACCGCCTCATTTTGCCAAGTCTCAAGTCGCCAACCACGAAAATTGATTTTGTCGATTTTCTCCAAATCTAAGCGGCCTTTTGAAAAACAAACTACACCACGTTTAGTTACTTACTAATACCTAACTATGGACAATGTCTGTGAGCGAAAATGATTTTTTGACTATGGCCGCGAAATTTCGATTTCGCTCGATTTTTACAGACATTTGCTATTAAGATTCTGTTTGAATTGACCAACATAAAACCTACAAAATCAATTACATTTTTGCACGCATTTATCATCCATTATTATTTTTTTTGAAAATTCTGTCAGCGAAATGTTTTTCTTAAATCCACTAGCCATCACCTTTTTGACTTGCCTTCATAATTTGTTTTGTTAATCAACAGGTGGGTATGACTTGGATACAGTTCCAGTGCGTGATATGTCTCCCAGGTCTCCAAGGCTTGGTACACCAGATTCAGGATGGGATGATGATGATGACGACCTTGATTTAGGACTTGGTAATAAAATTTATTACATCCACTTGGAAATCACTTGCTATCCGTGCAATCTGATTGGCTCTTAGCAGTGTGATTTATTCCTAAATCGCAGCATTTTTTGCTCTAAATCGCATCTGTTCCAAATTGCGTCATTCATGTTCTAAATCGCATCATTTCTATTTCAAATCGCACCATTTTTGTTCTATATCGCATCATTTCTGTTTGGAATACAAAATGAGATGTAAAAGCCTTGTTGTTTCGACTTTTTAACAGACCGGCTACTTGATGAATTAAATATTAGTACTGACTAAATTCTGCGATTTCAAAATGGAAGTAATAAAGTGGTAATTGAACTTCGTGTCGTGCAATTTTGGTCTGAAATCATACTTGTGATTTCAAATCGAACTCGCGCTGCGCGCTCTTTCGATTTTGAAATCACGCGTATGATTTCAGACCAAATTGCACTCCACTCAGTTCAATTACCGTTATATATTCACTTAAGAAACTTGAATTAGTCTTCTTTATAAACCAAAGACGTAATAGTAAAATGGTGTCGTCATCCAAATGCCCTATTGATGTCCATTATACCACCCTTCAAAGCGTAGCCCTTGTAAATTCTACAAATATATAGTTCAAAATACATTTAAGACAATCAAACCTTTTATTTTGGACACAACCTCTACATTGTTGACACCTCATCTCTGTCAGGACAGTTGTTTTGGTTCCAAAGGTGCCTGACTTACAGCCCTATCCTCCATAATACAGCAAACAGTTTGCTTTTACAATGAGGAACCTTTAATTTGCCCCTTTGGTGTTTGTGAAAGACTCTGCTATGAATGTACCTTCCTTTGTTTCTTGCTGCTTGCTAAATTGTTTGTTAGTATTGCACTTGTTTTCTTGTCGTGGCTGGTTTTGGTTGAACGCTGAATTTAGTACTTTTGATATCACTCCCTTTACGACGCAAATGGATTAAGGAATTAAATGCAAAGAA